GAAACTGCTCATCCGCGATTCTTCGAGCAACTCGAAAACGTTCCCCTTTCTTTTCGCCAAAGGTTCCCCGGAGACCACGATGATGAAAAGACTCGTACGTCAGGCCGTAGAACGATGGTTGGGACCGGAATCTCGTTGGTCGACGAGTCACGTAATGGAGGAGCGTTCGCGGAAGCCCGAAGGAGCGACACGAAATTTTTTTCCAATCGGAGCTTCTCTTTCCGGTGGTCGATCGTTGGTCCGCCGGTGCAAAGAGAATTGCTGCGGAGGCCGAAAGGAAGCCCGGCCCGTGGATATTAATAGAGGCCGAGGCCCGGTGGCGGACGCCACCGACGAGCTTACACCCGTGGATATAAAAATATCGCTTTTATTTCTTACTGCGCCCTCCCAACTCCACGACTTTTTTACCGTTTTCCCTACGTTACATTACTCTTTTATTTTATACGATTATTGCCTGCACGAGTCGCGCGCGCCATCGCGCCATCGCGCCGTCTCGCCACCATCTTTTTCCCCTGAATTCCATCGTTTTCACTCGCGCGTTTCTTTTCACGCTTCCTGTACTCGAGAAATTATCCGTGGTTCCACGCATCTATGGGACTATCATTATACGTTAGGCTGTACGACCGTTAATTAGTTGCAGTTCTGGATGTAGACGGCACGTACGCGCGGTAGGAGTACCTATCTCTTAAAACTATCGTCGGGGTCTTCCATTTATTTTATTTTATTTTTCTTTTTTTTCTTCTTTTTTAAACGACGCGCGAGAAAAACGAGAATTCTCCGGACATCGTTGTAGAGGATTTTTTTCGCGTTGTCAGCGAGGCAGTACGAGAAAAGCCAGACAAGGCAGAGTGAAATTGTATCTCGATGACGAAGTCGAAGATTTAGGAGCGCCATCGTAAATGCCGATTCGATTTCGGGAATGAAGAGACACAGTGGGAGGCAGTTGTGGGAAATTTGCCAAAAGTCAGAGCAGAAATCAGTCTTCTCCCGTATGTTTGCCTCTGCTAGAGTAGCACCTCGTGAATTCGTGGGTAATACGACACCCCCGTCATCGTGATCGCATCACGATTACGACATTATCGAACTTAAAGTTCGTGGGTGGTTTACGGCTGTAAAACTGCAAGTTCCTCGAGAAGAACGTTTACTCGATCGAAAGGCATATCGCGAGCGTTTATTTCTTGGTTTGAAAATAGTCTGCCACAACGATATATGTCATTGCAGTTCCGCTAAAGGCGAACGTCGCGCGAGGAACGTAGACGGTGCCGCGATAACTCTAATCGGCGACGCTATGCCCTCGCTCCTCCATCGCTTTCTTTATCAGCTGACGAAGAAGCGAGGTGAGCTCATTCTGAACGCTTGCTCCGCGTCATCGACGAGAGTGACTGGCGCGTCTTGTGTTCGATTCTTCAGTCACCGGGCTCTGTGCTGACGATTCTCTTCAACAGCGTCCGACAAGGACTCTTTGTTGCTCGCGTCCACGCTCTAACTTTCACGCATTCGTTCATCGCCTGGTTTCCTGGTTTCTCATGTCGAAACGCCTGGTCACGTACATACATACTCGTTGTTCCTAGAAGTCCACGTTCTGTCTCCTTTGTCGTAGCTTCGTTGTGACTTTTTACCATGACCAACGCCACGTAATTACGAGGAAGGGAGAGAAGGGTTTACGAAAAGCGAGTATCGACTGGTCTGGTAGATAAGAATGTATCAACGTGTTTCGACACAGTCGATCGTTTTGCATTGCGAAAAATCGTGGAACCTCGGACTCTAGAGCCATGGACGTCATCGATATTCAGCCTTCCGTAGAAGGAGGTTTACGACTCGGCTACACGCGAACGATACGCGTCTAGACTGGCTTGCTTGTATATGTATATTGTTACATCTCGCGCGCGAGCAACATGGTGCAGTTTGTTTGAAAAGATAAGGCCAGGTCGAACGTAGTCCAATAATTTCGTCCTGACGTCACTGTCTATTCCTTCTGCTATACACCTCAGGACAACCGGTACCCTCCGATGATTTCGCGACGGCGAATCATTCGGACTTACGAGCAGGAATATGAGTATATGTACGCGCAATTAGAACGACTCGAGTGCTGGCGAACGTGACAGATAAGTTTATCGACATACGCGTCATCGCCGTGCAGAAATAGTGTCGAAAAGCGGGATAGATAATCGAAGACGTTCGATAAACGCGATGGCTGCTTGGTTTTCGCAATTCCCATCCAGAGATTCTCGAGTACAAAGAATTTCTTGAAAATTCCACATTCGCGTTCCATATCGCCGATCCTACTCGATCGAGTAACCGAACGGAGTAATTCTATCCGAGTATTTCGTCCCCTTCTTTCTCGTCGTATCTTTGCATATTGCTCCATTAGCTGAACGATTAGTACTGTTATTCGATCGCAACGAAATTCATAACGGCACGGATGTTAAGAGCGAAACAGGAACGAGACGAAGACGCGAAAGTATCGGTGACTTATTTCCATCGAGCGCGTTCCCTTTCATTTGGTCCGATTAAAACCGGTGTCACTGACCGAGGCCCGTTCCCTGTCCACGTTTTTCGAGAGTATTGCACGTATGAACGAGCCTTAAGTCCTCAAAGTGAGAGAAAGAAAAAAGAACAGAAATGCATTCCAGCATGGAAGGTGGGATGGATCCGTCTCTGATAACCCGCCCATTGGAATGCGTACCTCGTACACCTTGGCGTATTCTCCCCCTCGGTTCGACTGCATTCAAGTGCATCTACTCGTACCGTCACACATATTTCGGCTGTATTTTTAGAAACGTCGTTATTAATAATCCCGTCCAAAGCCCGTGGTCGCTAAAGTCACGGATATTCTCACGAATTACGTATCCAGTACCCGATACGATAAACACGCGTTCATCCAAGAAGCATAATGCGACGCGAGTCAGCAGTTCGGTAAGTTCCACTTTCTATTCGGAGAAAAATAAACCTACCTACGTTCAGTTCTATCTGTATGGAAATATGCGCGAACACGGTGTAGAACGAAGCTCGCGTCACTTTCGGTCGAACACACGCCTGGCGGCGAGTTAATTACGAAATTAGTATACTCCATTACGATGCAGGTTGGCCCGAGGCGAGGTATACTTTATCCAAAATTGTCAGACGCTATTATTACCCAAAGCATGCGCTTCAGCTCAACTTGGTGTACGCTCGGAACACGTATGTCCGCGCGTACTCGTTCATTCATCGCGGTTCACGCGATGGCAGGAGCGTTCGTAGAATGAATACGCGGGCCGGGGTCCGATATGTCATACGTATAAGACTATGCTGCACCTTGGTGCATTCTAACACTCGGTTTGGCTTGGCCGAGTGTACGTACGAATAAACGTCGTATGTGTTCGGGGCCTATTTTTAAACCGGTCCGGGACTATTTTTAGAGCCAGGCTTTCACAGTGCCCACCAAGCTTAACCCTGACTTACGTCCACGTTCTACGTTTTCGTGGACCTAGGGACAGCAGAACAGAACGCCAGAGGTTCCTTGACCATTAGGCTCGAATTCGCGCGCACTCGCGTCCGCGGATCGGCATCGTTTCTTCTCCAGGAACCTTTTTGCCGATGTTGGCGGAACGCGAAACTCTGACTCGCCTTCCCGCTCGAATGGCCACGCTGTTGATAATAACGTGCACGCAAAACGTATCCAACTCTTACGGCAACAACGATGACGCAACTTCGTGTTCCTATTTCTGGAGGCAGACGTGCGAATCGAACAACTCACCCTCTGCCCTGATTTCGTCTTCGTGACGTGGACTCGAGTCCAGGAAAGCAACCCACACCCGTGGTGGATCGTTGAAAAGACGCGCGTTGCTCGCGAGACTACGAGTTTCCGAGGATCGACCCGTATTCTCGTCAATCTCTGGAAAAATTGCTCGAGGTTCGTTTAGCGGGCTGAATAGGGAACGGAACGCGTAGGCAAGCTATCGTATCTCCCGACATAGGGGATCTCTTAATAAAAATAACGATAATAAATCACCGAACCCACCGACCGTATTTATAGAAAGAACCGGGCCTGGATCGATCGGTACGTCTATTAATTATTCCCGATTCCGCCGGAACGATGCGTCGGAGGAACGAGGAGGGCAAGAGCAGACTCTTTAGCTGTAGGAGGCTCCCTTAATGAGCTTTCCTTTCGTTTTCTTCTTCTTGAAAGTATCGATTACTCTTGATCGCTGGCGAAGAAAAGGGATCAAGCGTCCCGTTCAATGGGCAAAAGCGACGAGACAAAATGGAGCATGCATCTTCTGCGTACTGGTTACCAAATATATTAATAGCGTAATTAACTTGGAGCAAAATCACGGTTATAAGAGTGTGAAGTGTAACGCGATAAATTATGATGATTTAAAGCGACTCATTGATCACGCGAGGTAATTCATTTCCTTAATTGCCGAGCGTCTGTTGAACTTGAATAAGGCGAAGAAAGATAAAGCGGCGAAATGCATAAATAACGACGATTGGCAGTGTCGCGATTGGACTGTTCGAACCTCTAGAAAGAACTCTGCGCGAAGAGTGTACTTGGCGATTTCTTCGGGATCCGCGTATAAACAGATCCGCGTGCGCGAAAGGACGATAATCAACCATTTAAGCTTCGTGTACGATTAATGAATCGCAAGAAATAAACAGCAGGGGGGTTTTAGAGCGGGTAAAAAACGTATTCTTAGACTTCAATAAGGCTTCCTCTGGTTCTTCTTCGACGTCCCTGCTCATGTTCTTAGCGAAACCTTCTTTTTTCGAACGTCCTCGCGTGAATGGACGCACAGTATCCGACATTCGAGGTGTAACGAGCTGCATGCACTTAAATATAGTGGCTGCAGAGAGTCTGGACTTCTCGGCTCTCTCCATCGACGAGCGGAGAGACGTCTGCGCGTATATCGATGACGAATTCGAGGTCTATCCTCTTTGCAGAGCATAGATTATGAAGCAGAGAAACAGAAGCGCGTATACGATATTCGTCGCGATTGCTAAGTAAACGTTGCATATTGCAGGTTAATACCGGATCACCAGCGGAAGCAGCTGGGCTGAAGGCCGGCGATGCAGTTATCAGGGTCAATAACACGGAGGTGTACAATCTGAGGCACAAGGACGCGCAGGACGTTATCGTGAAAGCTGGAAACAACTTCGAGCTGACCGTACAGAGGTAGCGACAGGCACGGCCGCGACTTTAACTTGCTTGTCAGAGATAATTATTAATTATCACGTTAAGTTTACCTCGTTACTGTCGTTCACAGAGGCGGTGGTACCTGGAAACCACACGTGTCTCCGATAAGTTCCACCCTAACGTCGCCATCTCCCACCGGAGGGCTCGGCAATATCGTTCCAGTTACGAAAACATCCTTGGCAGCCAAGAAACAAGATGGATCGCACATCGGAAGCGGTCACAACTTTAGTCCAAAACCATTCGTTAGTGTCAAATTAAAGTTAAAGGGGTCGAGGAATCTCGAGACCTCCTTTTAGCGTTTTACAATGCAACGCTCAACGGGAATGATCTAATGAATGTATTTATTCGCGCCGCAGCTTAACGGAACAGGAGACGGTTCGATCAAGTCTATCGTAAACAAACAGTACAACAGCCCAGTAGGTATCTACAGCGAGGAAACAATAGCGGAAACTCTTTCCGCGCAAGCGGAAGTTTTAGCCGGTGGTGTGCTCGGGTAAGATCTTCCCCGATGGTGTATACGCAGCTATTACAGAAATAGTTTCGATTACGTTAACAAACACGATCACGTTTGCAGAGTGAACTTTAAGAAGAACGAGAAGAATTACAATGCCGAGAACAGCGAGGTATTCAAGATGGTTCAAGAAGCAGACAAAGAACCAAAGACGCTGGAACCTGGTTAGTAACTAATCGCGTTTAGTAATGGCAAATAGATCGACGTCTGTTAGATTTACCGAATTATCGAGAACGTTCCAGTTACTTATGTCTTGTTATTAATAGTTCAACGTCTTATGCAAAACGAAACTAAGAAAAATCTCTGGAGAGTCGTTAGCCGAGTTAACGGTAGCCGAGCGCAAAACGTGGAACGAGTGTTTCTTAAAAAGAGCGTAACGCGCAATAAAGACCCTCTCTCCAGTGATTTTTCGACTGGATCAGCTGGCTCCAGTTAGCCTGGTGCATGCCGGTACGATAACTTCTTTGCGAAATAGCGGAGCCAACTGCGCAGAGCGGCGTGATTACGCCGTCTTCGCCGGCCCTGGCAGGACTGAGGCCAGTCTCGGCACCGGAAACCAAGCAGCAGCAACCGTCCACGCCGCAATCGAGTCTTCCACCTGGACAGAACATTTGTGCCGAATGCGAGAGGCTCATCGTGTAAGTTCACGCCGAGGCGCATCGTCCTCTCGGTCGTTACGTTCTTTCTTTCAGACCGGAGACATTGGAGAACGAGAAAGGAAAAATAGGACCGTGACGATTCCGTAGTTGCGGCGACCACGGAACGATTTCCTTTCCACCAAGAAGAGAGCGGCACGCTTACGTTCCGATTTCTAACGTCGGATCGGATCCTCTGAACATAATTCTCCGCCACGTACTTCCAATCTCTCCGACTATTGCCATCCAACCGAAGATCTTAGTCTCGCGCGAGAAGTTTAGACACAAGGAGAACTATGTCAGAAGCATTCGATGCGACTTGGAAATTCGTGCACAAATGGAGGACAAGAGATGACAGAGAATAGTAGCCACAGAGAGCAGATCGCTATTAGATATTTCTCTCGTATTTGGTCGAGTCACAAGTACGGTTTCTCTACTTCCATGTCGTAGTTCCTCCGAGAACAGAGTTTTACTCGGCGGTGAGCCATGCCGTTGGCGGAAGGGCCACTTCGCCGAGATCACCCACGCCTCTCTTTCATGCCCTCCACGGTAGTGGTCCGGCCTTCAATTCAAATGAAAGTCCGTCGAAACGTCAAGTGCAACGACAGGAGTCCTCTTCTTCCTCCTCGGGGCCATCCGGTGTCCGTTGTAACAACTGCGACCGAGTGATCGTGTAACTATTTACGTGAAATCCTCTCTCTTCCCTTGCACGGTCGATATGGACCGAACGATTTTAGCTTCTCGACGATATGTCGCTTCTTATCAATTGTCTTACACGTAGAAAAATAATGTCACGTATGTGGGCGGGAACGAGCTCGCGATTTTAAGGCGATGCAACTTTTTACGCGGCGCTACACCAGTCTCGTTCATTTTTCGTGTCGTGGCGTTTTTCTTTCATTCTCTTTTTCTCTCTCTATCTCTCTCCTTTTTCCACGTCTTATTCGGAATCGTGAGCCTCGTTCCCAACGTGACGTTCCGTTGTCCGGTTGAAGAATATGCAAAATTGTGGCCGCCTGTATTGCTCGATTGTCGTACGCTGGTATCATCTCGAAATGCTTTTTGAACACGACGAGAAGGTGCATTTTTTCGCATTCCTTCATCGATCATCGATGATCAGGGATATTGATGTTTTTTGTACACGTGCACGTTTTGCCGCTATGTTTTATGGAATGGAAGCACAGAATTTCTCTCTCTTTCTCTGTCGCCTCTGTCGTCGGTATCGCTCCTTCGGAATAAATGCGAATCCTTTTCGATTCGCGATTCTCATCGCTCTGTGGAAAAAAGTGTGGATATCATTCGCAACTGTGAGAGCTTTCTCTTGCTTAATTTTCATGGGAATTGATTAGCTAGATCTATGTCTGTTCATTCTTCGACCCTCATCGCATCTCTTCAACGCATCACTAGCATTCTTTATGTTATCTGTCGAATTACTCTGGTACGTAATCGCCGGAGTGGCATAGACTTTGCTTTAGATGTTGTGACTTTTTTTTTCATTTTTTTTTGGTTTTTGAAAGTTTTCCTTTTTCCTTTTTTTTTTATCAATGTTGTGTTTTTTGTACGTTTTTTCAGTATTTTTATTCGTGAATATATTTTTGTACGAACTATTTCATATCCTTTTTTGAGAAACCAAATACTTTTCAAACGCGCCGCCGACAAATTTTTCACCACTAATCGGCCTTTCTCGTCTCACCACGTTTCATTTGCGTACGTACGTAAGTGTGTGTAGACTCGCGTATATTTTTCGGTACTTTGTACGAGTTTTTATCGAGTCAATGATCCGTTACATTCTTCAACAAGTATCAGAAAGGATGTGGCACCGTGAAGATTAACTAAGTCTCATTTCACTTAACACATCATCACAGCCGCAAACAAACGTTAGTTTCTCAACTCCTGTGTTCTCGGCCTCCCTCGTCGAGGTATCGAGTCTCTTCCCCTTTTCTCTGAATACTTAGACCAAAAACTCGTGGCACATCCGACAACAAAGCACTCTGCACTTAATTAAAACGACAAAAATGGAAAAGAAATGAGAACGTTGTTTAATCGATTATTCTTCTCCGTAGGGGTGTATTCGTACGGATCAAGGATAAAAATCTTCACGTAGAGTGTTTCAAATGCTCCACCTGTGGCACATCGCTCAAGAACGTCGGATATTACAATATCAACAACAAACTGTATTGCGACATTCACGCGAAATTAGTCGCCAGGCAAAATGCACCTTCTGGCATGGTTCCAATTACCATACCGCCGTAAGTGTTAATTCACGAGGAAACGAATCGTGAAGCGGAATTATGAAGCAATTATGCTCGGGATTGAAATAAAACGCTAATTAAATTTCGTAGAGGCGGAAAGGCTCCGGCGAGCACGATTTCCGCTGCACTCGCGAGTGCACCGTTGTCTCCACCCTTGAGCAACCACGCGGCATCGCCTCAACCATTCTCTGTAAGTATCCTTTACGCGATCATGCATCTGCCTCGTAATTTGAAGATTTGGCAGAAATTTGGGAGAAATTTTGCACTCCATATTGCTTCGTGCTCGCGAGTGACGCCATGTTAATCGTTCGATCGCTTCGAGTTTGCCTATATCATGGGTAATGCTCCTAACGAATCTCATTAAACGTTTCGAGAGGCCTAGAATCAGAATAATTAAGCCCTAACCAAGCGTGTGGTCTTTGCTCGGCACTAATCGCTTTTCCAGGCTTGCAATCGTACGAGCCCCGATTACGGATACCCGAATTCTCGGCTATCCTCGATGAATAAGAACGGATGCGTCGCCAACGGCAACTGCCAGTGGGAAATGAAAACGTTTACGAGCACGATCACCATTCAGACGGGTTGTACAGAGGTTCGCAATACCCGTGAATTTTATCCGACTGTAAAACTGTCGTTAACCCCCCCGATGTTTGCCCAAGTATTCTCCTACACGGTGACAAATCATCGAGTTAAACAGCTTCGTCGATTGCTCTCATCGTCGTCGACCACGAACACGTTTTGGATGTCTAACAGATCTGACTACGAGTTATATTTGAAAGTAAACAGACGGTTAAAATACGCGCTGAATCAAGCCGAAATGGAACGCGGATCTAAATAAAAATGGAATTCGAGAGAGAGACAGGGACAGGAAGCAGAGCCGTAGTTCGACGAGGAGAGAGATACGAATTACGAAAGCCCGATGATAATCGTCGGTATGGTATTCGACCTGATCGTCCTTGTTCGCGAACTTCCTGATAGTAAACTCAAGAATAGGTTTGTCAGCCGACAATCTTGATCGTTCGCGTCGGCGATGATTATTTCGAAGCTGTGACTAATTAGCTTGGCGCGATTAGGAGTGTGCGTGTTGCCTCCACTCTCCCACGAAGTTCTCCCCTTTTTAATTGCCACTTCCACGTGACATCGTTCTGTCGTTTTATGTATTACAGCCCACCCGCCTTGGCACTTCGCCCGTCGATCCACCCAGTTTCCGATCAGTCCAGGTAATGTCCCAACGCGGCTCGTCTTAAACGTCTCGCACTCGAAACCTTACACTTGGTAAGGTACGTCCTTAGCGATCCGATGAAAATCACGCTGACCGCGGTGCCGCTGCTTTGAATACCAGATATGTTCTCCAGAGAAGTACGTCGAGTTTTAACGAAAGGAAAAGAGAAAAAAAGAATAAGAAATCGACGACATCCCTTATCGTGTGTTTCGAGCATGGAGAATATACCACAGAGGCTGTGCTTGAATTAATAATTGACGTTTCCTTTGAGTTCGTGATCTAGTGCGTGGAAAGGGTAATATCGGTGACTCGCTGGTACCTCTCAAAGTTATCGTTTCTTTCAGAGAGGGAGAGAGAGAGAGAGAGAGAAAGATAGAGAGACACTGGCAAATGGGAAAATTAAAAAAAAAATCACGACATTGCGATTGCCGGAGTAAGATCGTGCATATTTTTGTGTCGATGCAACGTGGTGTCAAAGATAGAGAGACGCTGGCAAATGGGAAAATTAAAAAAAAGATCACGACATTGCGATTGCCGGAGTAAGATCGTGCATATTTTTGTGTCGATGCAACGTGGTGTCAAGGCAGCGGCGAATAGCATTGCTAGTGTTCGTCGTTCGTTTCTGACATGAATTAATCGAAAACTATCGATTCATCGCGTACATAAATGCTAGTTCGTTAGATGGTAGTAGTACGCATCGCATTTGTCATGTTTGTCACGACGCCTCACTAATCCCACGGCTAATCACACGATATATGTATTTTTATTATCATTTGTCGGAATGCAAGACACCATCGTGCATTAGTTAGTTTAATCATTCAGCATCATCGATCGTGTCATTGTATTATCGCTGTGCTTCGGGCGAACGAGAACAACGAATAATCGGAATATTTTCTATCACACAGGCTCCAACGTCGAACAATTTAATTGGTCCTAAACCCTTTGGAGGATCCAGCACTCTATCATCGAATCTGTCCTCACCTCCGCTAGTGAACTCGGGAAGTAGCACTCTACCGCGACCTCAGAGTCAGACTGTGACCGGTAAGTTCCTTTCTTCATGATTTATCGCGGCAAGATTTGCTAATCGCGGGAAAAAGGTGAATTTCCTGCAAGAATCGTCGGAATCGACGTTACATGATCAGGTGTACACGAAATCGTTCTTCCATCCGCGGCTTGTCATTACATAATTAACGATCGCGTTGCGTAACAAGGCTCCTCGTTAGAATAGACGAAGATTCGTTAAAAATACTCGAAATTAAATTCCTCCTTCGTAGAAGCACTGTTCTAGAGTACCTCTGTTTTTCGTCTCGGTCGTTACGTGCATGAAATTCCGCGTCGCGACGCGAGCATTCGAAGGATAATTACGACAGGCACGCCAGAGGCATGTCAACCCGGAACGTTAGCAGGAAACAAAAGCGGAAATTGCGGTCGTATAAATTACCGATGACAAGCTCGACTTTCTCGTTTGGTATCTGGAGGAACGATCTCTGGTCGATCGGTGTAATCCTAATGGTGAGCCCGCCTATTATCCTTGGCCTCACTTTGTCTTCGATTGTTGCAAATAGGTCTCTTCTCGGCACTGCCAAAGCCAAAAAATACGCCCTTCAGAGGTACAACGATTAGATCCAAAACATGTGACCGAATTTCTAGCTTTAGCTAATACGCCCCATTTGGCTTCAGTCCCTCGCACCTTTCTTTTCTCATTTCTTTTTTTTTTCCTTTTTCTTTTCACTCTTCACGCCGCCGTTCATTCGTTTGCGTCCACAACGATCGATAGATCAATCGAACGATTCCCAAAGAAATTCTCGGGCGTTTTCCTTGCAAGCTCTCTGTCAATCTTTGCTTTCACTCGCTCGTCGTTTTCACGGCGTCGACGGTAAGTTCTGAGAGCTGCGATATTCCATTTTGATGGTCGCGACGATCGCGTCGATCGTCATCTCAAGGTGACACATTTATTAGGACTTTAATCGAGATTGTGGACCTATGGAGCAACGATGATGCAGGCTTGATCGAAACGGAACTGGGACAATCGAATCGAGACCTGAATAGCGTATAAATGAGTCAAGTCTGTTTCGATAGAAAGAGCTTGCGTAACAGCGAAGAGACTTTGACAAAGGTGTCTACGTGTTGTTCGCATTGGTATCTCTTGTACGTGCTTTTTATTTCCGTTTCATATGACTCGTACACGCGATATTATTATTATCAATGAACATGATGTGCATACGCGTGAAAAGAATGGTTTGCGAATCGGGAATCGAATTGTTACTTCGGTTAAAACTCATACTCCATTCATGATCCTCTTTCCCAGACGTAATTTTTTCTTTTCTTATCTTTTTTCAGCCGGTCCATCTTTCAACCCGAAACCCAGACCTTTCTCCCTCACATTCGCATGAGTCGGTAGCTCTCAGCTACACCGTCGTCGTCTTCGTGCTGACAGCCGAATCGAACAATCCAATTCTATACAATAACTATTTATATTCGACGTACATGATCCTTTTCTATCTCGGGCGCAGTGATTCGTATCGAAATTCGAGCATTCTAAATATTTAATCGGCCGATTGTATTTTACCGATCGACAGAATCAGTATTCCCGAGATGAAAAAGATCATGAATCGAATCGTGTATCATTGTCGACAAATGGTTTTCTCGTGAAGTGTTGAGAACTTATTGCAATTGCGAAATAAAACAATAGTTAAGCCGAGCAAGCTCTTCGCTCGATACATGTTGTTCCTTTCTTATATATATATATAATTTATATACGTATAAAAACGCACACAAATCTTCAAGATCCTCCAAAACATCGTTGATTAACTAAATTGTTTCCTAGCTTCGCATCGACACTTTCGAGTTGCACTCGAGGTCGAGATGCTAACCCACAGCGCTCGAAATTCGTGTTTCCTTTTATTTTTCTTTTTTTTTTATTTTTTTGCGATCGTTTAGAGATGCGATCCTCGAATCTGTAGATTCGAACCTGTAGTTCAATAATAGAGAGTTCGAGTGCCGAATGGTTTTGAAGAAATGCGACTGCTCACTCGTAACGCTTACTTAACGCGTTGATCAATCACCCTGATCACGAGCTTTGGCTTTATGTCGCTCCAACGTATCCAGTTAATCGCGGAAATTTACATCTTCGCGATGCTGGATATAGTTTATTATCTTTTTCTTTCATTCTTAAGTTGCGTTTCTTTTTATTTTGCGTCCTGGACGTGCCCGCGATCCAGCAATCCATTAAATCTTACTGAACATTCGATGATGAATTTGTTAAATTACGAAAGGATCACGGGCACGTATCGGTCAATGTGCTTCTTACTCACAGCTGATTTCTTTGTTTTTTTTTCGTTCTTTCTAACACACCCTGACACTCCAACCTACCGCCTGTGTTATCAAACGCGTGTTTTAAACGTTTCGTGTGCCTTGTACGATGATTTCTGTTCACCCGCTTCCAACTTGCACCCGGCAAAACCCCATCGATCCCCGAAACGATCCTGTGAAACACCATGGTCCCAGAAAACTCGACGGAAACCCACGAAAAGTCCTACTATTACGAGATCGTCGAGGACACCAAGACCAAGTACCATCCCAGTTCTGTTAAATCGAAAAGCCTCACCTGGCCACCTCCAAAGCCTATCGAAGATATCACTTATCCCACTGCCAGTCCTTTATACATCGATCCGAACCCTGCCCTCGATCGAAGAAGTAGACAAGCGGTGAAAGAGAAGAAAGCCTGCATCGAAGCCTGCGAGAGAGCTCTGACGAGGAAGAGGTGCGAGAGCACGGATCGCGAGGTGGAAAGAGTCACCAGACAGTGCCATCGCTTTGGAGAAGATCCTATGGATCGAGTCAGTTGTCCAGGACCAGCTTACAGGAAGGTCGAGCTGGTGGAAAGCACCGGTGTACAATCGCAAAGCGAAGTAACTTCGAGACCCAGCTCGACGGACAGTGTCAGAAGATCTTTGACACCGACCAGGATCGTTCAACCCATACCAAAACCATGGACAGCCACCGTTTCGACGGGCAGTAATCTCTATGAGCAGAGCTACGGGGGAGTCGAGCCTACTAAGGTGTGCAAGAAGTTCCATCAGAAGGAAATCTGCCAAAGAGAGCAGATATGCGAGAGGAATCAGCCTGTTCGGGAAGAACATCGTTCGTACCGGTCGTCAGTCTGTCGAAGAGAGCAGACCATCTGCCAGAAGCCACCATTGCCGACTCAGCACGTGGTGAAGCAAGAGGAAGCGAAGGAAGAGGTAACAGAAATTGACAAGGAAGTGACAGACTTGAGACCAGCGGATGAGATCGCGGACGAAGGAACCGACGATCTGGATATCAAGGGAGAGCACGACTTTATAACGGAAACATCAGAGGAGGACCTCGATGGAATGCACGTGAAAAAGAAAATGACGTTCGAGAAAACTATGGAGAAGATCCCGTCCCCGGCACGTCCTAGTACTCCCCTAGTACAGGAATCGAGACAGGAAGAGATTGAGGAAACGGTGCAAGAATCGGAGGAGGAAGTAGAGAAGACCGAAGAAACTTACACGAGAAAAACCACTACGCAGGTCAATAGAGAAGTCGAGGAGTCCGGGGAAAAGACGGTCGTTGAATCTGCCGAAGTAGTTACCTCTGCTGTGGATGTACAGCAGATGCTGGAGAAGGCGAAACGGGAAGAGGAAGAGAGAAAGCGTGAAGAAGAGGAAGAGGAAAGACGAAAGCAGGAGGAGGAAGAGAGAAAAAGACGCGAGGAAGAGGAACAGAGAAGAAGACGAGAAGAGGAACGAAGGAGACAAGAGGAAGAAGAAGAAAACAGAAAACACGTGACTTTTGAAGAAGAGGAAGAAGTGGAAGAAGTTCGAGAGAAACCTCTGGGAAGAACAATTGTTCGCGAGGAAAGGGTGACGGAAGCCGACAGTGACACTCCAGGACGCAAGAAACTCATCAAAGAAACTTACGAAGAAATCACGGAAGAAGTGTTGGTTCAGGAACGTATTAGAAGAAAAGGCATCGAAGATGAACGCAAGAAGAGTTTAAGGGAACAGGTACAAGTCCATCAAAGTTTGCGAGATCAGCAAGCACCGAAAGATCGACGCGTATGTTCCAAGTATCCTCCAGCTCAGGAAATCATGGAGACCAATAAAAAGCGTGTCCAGTTTATGAAACAAACTGACACAGGTCCGAAACCGATACCGCATTCTGCGCTCCAAAATGCCACTCCTAAAGAGTGGAAGTCCGAAATGGTCAGCGCTTTAACAACCGCTCCTGATCGACCTTACACGCCTCTCAGTACGTCTTCCAGCGTAAAGGAAGTGTACACGGAGGAAACGATATACTTGGATCATAGGTGTCGACCTAAACCGCCACCAAAAGAAGACATTCGACCGATTTCTCCATTTCAGGAAGCACTCACGATCGCTCCAGAACGGCCCTATACACCTCTTAGTCGCGAAATCGGGCCTGAGGATCAAAATATCGGCAGTCGTTCTACGACTCCGGTTCTTCGGGGAGAGGGTGGACCTTATCCTCCACCAGCTGATATTCTCTACGGTGAGGGAAAACGGAGAGACGCCCGCATGGAAGCGTGCCCTAAAGAAACTCCTCGACCTTTGCCAACTCCGCCGCCTGATTTTCGTTTAAGAGATACTTCCGTGTCTCCAGTGAGATCCCGACCTCACACACCGAGCAAAGGTATAACAGCCTCTTTGAAGAAACCGGACACTATCCCCTCTTATCAAAGAAACTTAGTGGCAATGAGAAGAGGTGCAGTCGAAAGTCACACTTACGTACCAAGTAGGACTCCAACTCCAACTCCAGGAAGATCGAAATCTCCTGCTCAAGGACCGCCAGAACCTCCACCTTGTTACGTCAAAGCCCATGCACCCAGAATCAGGGAAGACCCTCCACCTGCAAAGGCAAGCTCCATACACTTCCCTACCAAGAAGAGCGTTTCTTATAAAATAGACGAAGACACTGACGATGGACATAGACACGCCGAGTATGCAGCCACTAAAACCTCAGCCTTAGACGAGAAGCAAATCGACAAGGGGGGCCAACCACCCATAGACGCGGTTCATGCTCAGTATCAAGAGAAACGATACATGACTAGCGAGGAAACGAGCGAGGAGAAGCAATCGGTAGTGAAGAGATCGCTCGAAGTTACCGAAGATTTCGAGAGATGCGAGAAGAAAAGTGTATCTCGGCCTCTACCGGAGCCACAAAAGAAACCACCCAAAGCCACTTGTGCTATTAGAGCAGTAAGTCCCTCTAAACCTTCCCTACCTTGCCCAATGGCCTCGAGAATGGAACCAAGCCCTGCCCCGCAGCCGGTTTACAGTAGCTCGACGGAAGTACGTCACGTCAGCTATGGGACTCCACCACCGAAACCTTGTCCAGACACCGGTGTGACGGTATTGCCTTGCAAGGCTCACTCTGACCAAGGTACCAAAGCAGGCGTAGTCGTGGTACCTTGCGAAGGACCGAACGTTTGCTGCCAAAAGTCAGGCGTCTGCGTGGTCCCAACACCTGATCGCTCGGGAGTATGCGTCTCTCCCTGCTTTGGCATGAAAACCGGAACATGTGGCCAACCGTCTGGTCGTTGCGGCCGAGAATCTGCCTGCGAGATCGAAATTCCAAGCAACTGTCCGGAGTCAGGAGTCTGCGTGTCACCGTGTCCCGACGGATCCGTCTGCGTAGCTCCTTGCAGCAAGCCTGGAGTACCTCCTTCGAGGGCAAAGCTCCCGTTCCCTCAGATCCCTTTGCCCTATGAAGAAGCTCCTGCGCCGAGTCCTCAATGTAAAAATTCCTTCGAGCCTATCCACAAGCCTCGCACTAATCTGAGTGGGCAGCTCGCGCGACTGACTGCCAAAACCGGCCAGAACGTTCCCACTGTGCAATTGTATAAGCCCCAAGCTCAGAGCCAAAGTCAGAACTGCAGCGAGACCAAGAGCTATTGCTGTAAAACCCAAAGCTATTGTTGTTCCACCGAAACCCGTTGCCAGTCAAATGGTCAATGTTCGATCAACACCCGTTGTCAAACCGGAAATCAATGTGAGACCCCAAATTACTGTCAGGACGGTATCCATTGTGAACCCTCTAGTAATACCCACAGTTTAGTAGACCCACCAAATTTGTCATCCCACCCGGATCTAGGTACCGGAGTCGGTGGTCTCGGTGGTGCCGGGTCGAAGAGCGGATCTTTCGCTGGTAGCAGCGCGCCAAAGCGAGGAAGGGGAATCCTAAATCAAGCAACTGGACCGGGATCACGATTGCCCCTCTGCGCCCATTGCAACTCTTACGTCAGGTACTCCCCCTTTGCTGTCAGGTGTGCCGTTTGTTGTTTTTTTTCAGTGTTTGCCGCATCCCCTTTTATCTTTTCTGTTCTCCATCATCGGACGATCACGGCTAAGTCGCTTTTTTAGCTCCTCGTGTTAAGTATCGATCCATCAACATGTGCTTGGGAGGAACTCTCTAACTAGATGGTGTCCTTATACACATTGTTAGACAGAATTTGGGTACACTTTCCTTGTATAAAAACTTGATCCGATTTTTTTTTAGGAGATACCGCTAGATTAGAAGATCGGCAATGATCTTGTAATCTTTCTTACAACGGAATACCTTTTTTTTTTGAAGTTGCTTATTGTAAATACCAAAGAACGCCTGCAGATACACAATTTGAGAGCATTGTTTGACGAACTTTTCAATTGATCTAATAATAACTTTAATTTGTTACCCTGTTCTGACGTGATTAACAATGTTAACTTGTTTGCACGATGTTAACAGCTAACGAAGAAAATACTAATCACAAGTCAAACGGTCTCGTCATAAAACCAGTGTGCTGTAAAAACGACAAAGAGTGCATAAGGTTCGTAGAATACTCGACTTATGGACAATTGTTGTCTGCTGTGTTACGTCTTGCTTTCTTACATTTAAAGTAGCGGCTCGAAAGACTTCAAAGATATATAATCGTCGCGATCATTTAGGGGACCATTCATTACCGCTTTGGGACAAATTTGGTGCCCCGATCATTTCGTGTGCGTGAACACCCAATGTCGTCGACCTCTTCAAGACATCGGATTCGTAGAGGAAAAGGGACAACTCTACTGCGAGTACTGCTTCGAACGCTTCATTGCTCCAAGTTGCAACAAATGCAACAACAAGATCAAAGGCGTAAGTGTTCTCAAATGTTATCTCCACAAACCCAGAGACTTAGTTGTAATCTTAATTTTAGGATTGTCTGAACGCAATTGGAAAGCATTTCCACCCTGAATGCTTCAAATGTTCCTACTGTGGCAAACTCTTCGGAAACAGCCCATTCTTCCTCGAAGAAGGACTGCCCTACTGTGAAGCGGGTTAGTTGCAGTTTTAGTTGATTCTTCGAACAGAATCAAAGTGCAAAGATATGGCAAAATTCAATTCCATTTCACTGTTTCACCACGCAGATTGGAACGAGCTGTTCACGACAAAATGTTTCGCGTGTGGATTCCCAGTCGAAGCTGGAGATCGCTGGGTGGAGGCCCTGAACAATAATTACCACAGCCAGTGTTTCAACTGCACGGTACGCAATTAGTGCGAGGATGCTTCTCGAAATAAACCGATCGATCTCAAGCGAAGAAAGTGGAAGAAACGTATTTTAATCTTTATTCTGGTGTACGTATGTTGCAGATGTGCAAGAAGAATCTTGAAGGCCAAAGTTTCTACGCGAAGGGTGGCCGTCCGTTCTGCAAAAATCATGCGCGTTAAAGCTTCACTCTCTGATCTAACGCACGAAAAAAAGGGGGTAAAATAGTGGAGAGGGGGGTGTCGTATGAGAAAAATAGGAAAAGCGGAAAAAAATACAAAGAAAATGCGTATCTTAGCTTTACGAGCACGAATTCTTTCTGCACAAATTGTATCTCATCGTAATTCTTTCTTCTTTTTCTGCTTCTTCTTCTTCTTCTTCTTCTTTTTCTTCTTCTTCTTCATCTTCTTGTATGTTTTCGATCGAACTTCTGCTTCTTCTTCTTCTTCTTCTTCTTCTTCTTCTTTTTCTTCTTCTTCTTCATCTTCTTGTATGTTTTCGATCGACGACAACTAACCCCACGAACCGGTGTTGAGAACACCATCGGAATAATCATAGGATGATTTGCGAATATATTTATTTACAAACGAATAAGCTAATTGAATGCGAACTAATTGTGTCGATTAATTATAACTTCCTTGGTAATTAAAGTCTTCTCTGCTTGAAAGCAGGATACCTTGAAGTCGGCAAAGTCGATCGAAAATTAGAAAGAGTGACGTACTTCGGGGATCGCGGTCCCAGGACGATCACGTTTCTCGAATTTTCGTGATTGGTCGCGCTCGTGCTCGCTTACGATAATACTACTTACAAGCGCCCACGTAACTATCTAAGTAATTGTACCGGCAACTACTCAGCTACGTTCGCCCAAAATGACAATTATCGCGTGGAAGAATATTCGAGATAAAGTTGCAACCACACTGCAAATCAGCTAAACCTAATCTATCGACTTTAGGCTGCTTAGTAATTAATTAACGGAGGAAAAGGGGAGAAAAGAGAGTAAAGAAGGAGGAAAAATGTTCCGCAGAAGCGAAATACAGCTGCGTAACTCGTGCTTCCGATTTCGCAGATAAAAATCTCGCTTGAACGAAGGTTAAGAAGAACTTCTTAAGAGGCCATTGCGTCGGCAAAGTTCCTCGGGTTTCGCTGCCTCGACATTCCACGACTAATTGGTGGATTAAGCAGCCATAAAATATCGATGAGACGCAAACTCCTTCTGCCTTGCGGTTCCACTTTTAATGGCTGCGACGAGTAATCGCGTTTTCGTGGCGGACGGGTCTCGAATACCTCGTAAAATCGTTGCCGCAGAAAATTCTGCAACGATACAATAAACGCGCCGACTTGGTCTCCTGCTCGAATCACGCAAAGGTCATCCAAGCAATTAGTATTACTGGCATTATCACATATTTCGCATTACCAAGGTGCATCCAACACGAAAATGTCGGGTTGTTTTCTTTGAAGATTCGGAGAGGACTGGCTTTTGACGCAAACTGTGGCGGGGAAGCCCCTTGGAAACTAACTGCAAATGATCAAGGTTTGCAAACCGAAGATTAGACCTTTGTTCCACGTATTTCTGAAATTTTTCCCACTCGACTTCTTCCAAAATTCTAGGACTCGTAAACGAATGGTTGCTTAATTAAACAAATTCAGAATTGGATGACTAATTGGCTGATACCTGATTCATGACCATCGATTGCATTAAAGAAACCGATAAATTTCTACATTGTGTGCGTGTGGATTATTATCAACTAACAAGCGTTCGCCAGAGACACTTGTTACCTTTATCGGATCGAAGAGCAGCCTTAGTTAGAATCTTCGTACATGTAAGTTTCATCGTAAATCATGCGACGAAACTTTGCTACCCTGAAATCAGGCGATTGAAGACGAGTAAAATAACAGACTCGAGTCTTTCCAGTCGTTTAGTCGACTGATCGTTCTACCAAGAATGTAGTTTTAATTTTGGCATAATCAAACGTTCAGGGAGCCTCTGTAACATTGAATAAACAGTCACGTACGACGAAAACACGATTTACATTGTGCTTGAGTCGACTTAAGGTGCTTAGTTTTCAGGGTACAAGAAGAAAGTGAAAATATAATTGACTTCGAAGAACTCGCGCTTGATAGCAGTTGCCATGTAATTTTAGAAAAGGTTACCGATTTCTGTGCCATTATTACGGGCTCGTGTCATATAGTAGCTACGACGAAATACGCTAGCAAAGCTCTCAAATCGAAGGACAACGTCTAAATGTACATTGTATAATTTAGTGAGTAAGAATACGCGGCGTTCACAATACTCGCGTAAATGTTCAAAAAGAGATGCTGAGGAATCGATTCGACTGACAGAAAGTCCCTTCGATCCCATAGCGATCTCGACGTTCAGCGTTCGTGACAATTTACGATTAGGATTAATGTTAATTAGATCGACTACTGGCTGAATATCGCACGAGCTTCTGTATCCGTGTTACGTGTTGCTTACAATAAACTAAAATGTTCGTGTAAATCGTTGCCTAAGAATTTTCCCACGTCTGTTCCCCAAGGAGGTACCCACGCAAACATTCACAAATGGTAAAGCGAAAATAACGAAAATAACAGCGGGAGATGAGGCAGAAAACAAAAGAACATACCGATATTGTACAGAAACCATTCGCATCCTAAATAATCGCGGTTAGGTCCGCAAGAGAAAGAGCTCGGACCGCCTGCAAAGAGAAAAGGAGACACATGAAGGTTTGCTCATAAACCATTTCGTCTCTAACCAGGAAGTAGCTCTCTGTAAGGGACGTTTCATCGATTTGTCATTAATGTAACCTTGCGGTACCTCCTACCTACGAAGCCAGACACGCGAAACATTTTTCTGTCGAATCTTTCGCAATTCATACATCGTCATCGCGTACCTCAATGAGTATACTCCTTTTAATACATCTTCGAACATAGCTCGCAAACGATAAAATTTTTTCTAAGCTTTTCTAATCTACGAGACATTTCACCGACACCAAATAGCGTAGAGAAAGTAGATTTAATTTCTCGCATAAATAAAAACACGCCATCGCAAAGTGCATCCTCACGAGATTTAAACTTTCAGCTCCGACTGCCAACATTTTTACGTTATTTCTGGTACAAATCTTGACGAATAGGTCTACTGGAGAGTCGCGTGTTCGCAGTAACGATCTTTGAGCGGATGTCAGTGCAATTCTTTCGGAAGCTAACGACTCATGAGACTTCCGGTGTCCTTGTGGTGTCGCGGTGTCCAGTGGAAAGCCATAAAAGCTGGAAAACAGCGTGGAAGGCAGCATACGAGTAACCTGCGCACCTGCGACCAGTTCAAAGCGATTGCGTAGACCGAAACTTGGCGGTGCACCAGTGAGAATCGAGATTCCGGCTCGCCTACATGCCGTTCTATCGAGATATTTGAAAATCAAACGTTAATCTTCGACAGGAATGTCGATCCGGAAACTAACTCGTTGCACTCATTGAGAAACGTTTTTTTAAACGGGGAAAAGGAAACAGCGCACGAGCATGTCTTACAGGCTAAATATCCCTTTAAAATCGTTAAGAAACATACGTTAACGTTTCGTAAATGAAAAGTGCAAGGTATGACGAGATATCTTGAATTTCTTGTACTTCGCGTTAACGAGGATCTTTTATTTTTGCTAAATATCGAATTTGGTGCAAGGATAACTGAAGATCCTCGAGTTATTCTTGAAATCCTTCGAGCTAAAGTATAATTAACACTTCATCTTCTCCTTTTTATTTTACATCACCGGAAGAACTAACTTGTCGCTATTATTGTGAGAGGAAAGATTGGTTATACTGTGATACTATTAGTTGTGGTTGTTATCTGTGTGCGATCTTCCGGAATATAATGATTCGGCATGGCAGTGGAATATTTGGATGGTCCTTTTGTGTTCAGGCTCAACGACAATGGTACAGGACCGCATCTTCTCATACAGGTATGAATATTCTCGGAAGCATGCAAATTATTACCTTTAGCTCACTAGTAGACATATAGCGCTATAAAAATTAGGCACTTTCCATTGGGAAGACGAAAATTGAGGGAACATTTTTAACAAAACGTGGGTCATGATTGCGTGGACAGTCGAGCTCTAGAATACAATGAGTACACGTAACATCGATGGATACGTAAATGTTGGATATGTTCCGTCACGCTTTTATGTCGCTTGGAATTTGTTCGACACGGTTACAAACTTAGTCGTGCCCTTGAACTGAATACTTTTCAAGGTACGTACGGTGTGCATATGCATGTACGTATCTGCAGAGTCAAACGAGATGCGACGCGCTTTTGCGTGCACCATTTTTAGAAATACGACTGTTAAGTAAGTGCAACATGCAATAATAACAGGAAAAGAACAGAGTCATCGGGGTGCACATCATTACGATTCCTCGCTCCTTCATGTTCATGAAGGACCAATTCGAAATGGAATTTCAAATGAAAGAATTTATTTGTCAACATTATTATATATTCGTTATTTAATTATCTTCACTTTTATATTTTTCGTTTAACAGGGAAATAAAATACACCGCGTGTAGCTCAAAGCAAATTTCCATTGACAATTTTAATTTCGACATTATGTTCTAATAAATGTTTGATGACGTTAAAATTCGTTTTACTATCTATTAAGGATAGAGAGGCTAGGCTACTATGACGAAACGAAATAATTCAGGTTATATGAACAGGGTGTAAATGTGGTCGATGACCTTCTCCGGCGAATCGATGATGAAGTTGTAAGAAAAGAATAATAAAAGTAGGCTACCGTAAGGGTGAAAGAGATATACTCGAATTTAATTGTAATTAGTGGCTTTGGTTTGATTTTCGTGTCCAGAGTGATTATTCCTAATGCCCCAATAACACGTTGAATAAATCATTTGAGAATCATGCGTTGAAGCGTCTTTGCCTCGATATTGAATGGATAAAAGTAAATGAACGTACACGCGAATTGCATACTCTGTGCATAGGTTTGTACGGAACGTGGCTGGAGAGAATATACTGGTGAAAATAATGTATTCAAAGATCGATGGAATTTATGGTGGCGGTCCGGTGGTTTCCCCTTACCCCATTACAAACTATTACTTCCATGGCAGGTAAATGCGCATCTAACCCTTCCACTCTAATACCGATTCCGAGATTAAAATCTATTTTTCAATCGATTTCCGCAAATTTTAGTTCATCAACAGAATTCCAAAAGGGAGCTCGATTTGTAGGAAAGATAATCTTATACGCCATCTTAGATGCATGAAGAAGATGCACGGTTCGATCTACGATTTCAGGTATAATCTTAAATATATTAGAAAATCGCGAAAATGGCGTTCAAGCGTTATGAAAAATACAACAAATTAGTCCTGTAGGATATAACTTGCCATCGGAATATACTAAATTAGCAGAAGAATGCAGTCGTTGCGAGCATGATAGAGTGTGGATTTGTAAGCCAGTTGGCCAGAGTCAAGGAAAAGGAATCTTTCTATTTCGTGTAAGGACTTCTTAGATCAAAGTCTTGAACGCGAATTTGAATGAACTTATTAAAAACACGATCTTATGTTTGTAGAAATTAAGCGACCTTACGTACGACAATGCAGCAGTGGTGCAAAGATACATTGAGAATCCCCTTTTAATCGGGGGCTACAAATTCGATCTACGACTGTACGTGTGCGTACCTTCCTATCGCCCTTTAACGATATACTTATATAAGGAAGGATTAACACGTTTCGCAACTGAAAAATTTTCGTTAGAACATTTAAACGATCCGTTCCGACATCTCACTAATTTTTCCTTGAACAAGTTGGGTCCAGGATATTCTGAGAAAAAGGAACGCGTTGGTTCTGGTATAAAATGTCTATTATGAATTTAATTTTCTCGATTTACGTCATAGATAACATAATTAGAATCTTTGCAGGTTGCAAATGGACTTTTAGACAATTGAGGAGATACTTCGAACAAGTTGGTTACAACGATTGGTTCCTGTGGCAAAGGATTGCCTGTTTAGTTAGTTTAACAATACTAAGCCAAGCTGCAAGAATACCGAAATCTTCCAATTGCTTTGAATTCTTTGGATTCGACGTACTAATTGACAAAAATTTAAAACCATGGCTATTAGAGGTTAATTAATGCATATTTCAAATATTTGGATATAATGGAAATCGCTTCTAACAGTCAAAAATCGACATTTAAATAGGTCAATCTTAGCCCAGCTTTAAGTAACGACTGCGAGATCGACTGTGAAGTAAAGAAACCATTGCTGCATGATTTATTCGATTTATTAGGTCTTCCAATATGCAACACTGGACTCTCTCTTTTTACGATATGGACAACAAGCCCAATTGATGATGCGGTCGAAGTGTCTTCCAAGTTTTGTACAAATCGAGTCATCAAAAAAAGATCGAGAACATATCGGGAAACTGATGGTTTCTTAAATATATGCACGGAACTTCGGCCTACTGTACGTATTTAAAATAAAATAGTGATAAATATTGAGCTACTGTCAGAAATGTTACCCTCTATATTTCATTTTAATCATTAGCTCAAACAATTGACCATCAGCAATTCTTCGAGTTCATGGTCTCATTACAATCCTTTATTAATGGATAAATACATTCCACGCGGTTTTCAGGGTAATAACCCAGAAAACAACGATAAAACATCCGTATGGGATAATGGTAAAGACTGGAATACTCCGTGTGCGAGAGAAGGAGGATGGGTCCGCATTTATCCACTGACGCGAATAAAACTTGAGGGTACCGTTAATTATGTATCGTCTTTATCGGAAACTACAAGAATTGCAGAAAAAGAAACCAGAAATACAGTCCTTTCTATACAAAAGTAATAATCTCGATAAATATACTTAATTTACGATAAAATGTAAAAAAGGATATTTGCTTGATTTCTTTTGCAGATACTTGAGAGCTGCCAAAGATGTACATAAGAAGAATGAGAAATATAGAGATGAACAGTATAACGCTACATTACGAAAAATATTCGAACTAAATACTGAAATTTGGCTACCATCAAAATAGTTTAACACGATAGATATTCGTATCTTCTCTTTCAATATCTTTTTCTTACTTAAGCAAATCAACACAGTATGCTTTAACCAATTAAATAATTGTATACATTTGAAACATATTTTTAACAGCCAAAAATATTTCTCTATATTTTTAATAGCAAAATAGATTCTAAAAATCGCATTTTAAACATAAACATGATACAAATAATAATAAAAAGAATATTTTATTGTTACATATCCTAACACTATGTGTTCTAAAGTTCTACATATAAATAATATATGGGACAAAGGTAAAAAAAATCTATATTCACCAAGAAATTCTCGGTTTATTGAATATTTTCTTGCAAATGTACATTAATTCACTCCTTTTGCTGCTAACCTCTTGTCGCGTTCTTCGGCAATTGAAAGCTTAACACCTTTATCTCTTGGTAAGCTAATGTATGGCTTTGTACCCTTGCCAATGATAAATACATTATTCAACCTAAACGAATGATTTATTATAACAGGCGACATAATTAACCAATATAGAGAATAATCAAATTTAAAACACTTGTGTTTCCTAGATGGGTAATACTGAAAAATCTATGTAAGAACAATCAGTGACCAATAAGAAGGAAATTCATTTTCGCCAACTTTTGACTATAATATTTTTTTACGATATATTATAGCATCGATCATGGCCACCATAAAAATAAATTCAGTCTTTTTTTGTAAAAATATAAAAACAAATGTACAAGAGACATGTAAATAAAAAATAAATATGTAAAATACCTTGTAGCAAAAGAATGTCCTTGTGAATCTTTAATATGACAAATATCAAAAGATCCCGGATGACGTTCGCGGCTTACTACCGTGCCTACTCGTCCTAAATTTCTACCACCAGTAATCATACAGAGATTACCTTAAAAAAGGAAAGAAATTAATGATAATAAGAATAATAATTCCTCCACATATTTATACTAAAAAGATATTATACCTGAATCAAATCGAATAGAGTCCAAAATTTTGCCTGTTGCAATATCTAAATGTATGGTGTCATTAACTTTAATTAATGGATCTGGATATCGAATAGTTCTTCCATCATGTGTTACTAAGAATGGGATGCCTTTTGGTCCAGTGCGAACACGTTTTACCTTACATAATTTATACTGCAACAAAAAATATTTGATTTTTAAATGAAAGATACTTTATTGACCCAACTTTTACTTTATGTCGGAAATTAAATACCTTAGCTTCTTCTGCTGTAATCCTGTGAGTAGTAAATCGTCCTTTGACATCATAAATCAATCGAAAATATTCACCAGTCTTATTAATGGTAATAACATCTAAAAAATTATATTAAATTTGACAATATTAATAAATATTAATTCAATTGTCTATATATGTCTTAAAAGTATTTTCTTTAAATGATGTATGAAATGTACACTTCTTGGGTAATACAGAAAGAATACTTTATTCAATCTGTGACCAAAATAAAGAATTTTATTTTACTATTGGCTAATATTGACTATAATATTTTATATAAAAAATATTGTAGCTTCGATATAGCCTTATATATATTTAAAAATTACAATGTAAATAATTATAATTAAAAAAAAAGACTAAAATATCTCATAATCTTACCCATAAAGCCTGCAGGATAATTGGGGTCAGTCCTAACCTTGCCATCAACTTTAATTAAACGTTGCATCACAATATTTGTTACTTCACGGTTAGTTAATGCATACTTCAATCTATTGCGAAGAAAAATTACAAGAGGAAGAGATTCTCTTAATTTATGAGGTCCCGTGGATGGACGTGGGGCATATACACCTCCAAGTTTATCTAACATCCATGCTTTAGGCGCGTTAAGACGCTTTAAATGCTTTTTCGGTCCGCGAGCCTAAAATCAAATTTCACATACTCAATATTATCATTTGAAATAAAGAACAGAAGCATTTGACAAACTTTGTAGTGTCAAAGATATTACTTAATTCAATCTGTACTATTACACTATATGTATAGGTTACATTACTATTTATATGCATTTCTTATTTCTTTAAAGCTATAATTACTTCTATAATTTATAGACTATGTCACAATAAAAACTTATTCGTCTGAATAAATTGTTAACAAATGATTCATATACAACGTCCATCTATTAAATATAAAAATATAACCTCTTTGCGCACATCTTAACCGTATGTCTTTTGCTTCGTAAAAACAAAATAAATTTAATAAATTATATAAAAATAAATATTCACTTTAGCTCATTTAGTTTACACTTTACTTGATTATGAAAACATATAATACACTATACAACCGATGTAAATGGATTTTATATTGACATCCAATGCTTGAACTTACCATCTTGGTTTTCTAAACGCAAAAGGCACGTCCACCCAATGTGTCCGTATTTCACATCAAAAATTCTTCGCCACGCTACAGTATTCAAAATGGCGGATATGGGTTTATATTCAATAATGTTTTTGTAAATAATTGTATTAGTTTAAATTAAGCTAAAAATTGTATATTTTTGAATTAACGTAAGTTTTCGTTTTATTTCAAGCATATAATATAAATAATATGATATAAATAAGTAACATATATAATGCAAATAATCGTAAATTGTATTTATGATAGTGTTTCCATATTATATTGAGATATAATTATTTGTGTTTTTTATTGCAATATTTTCAATTTAAGAATGAATGGTTTAATGAAAAATATAAAATAGAAAAGGGATTTGCTAATATATAAATCTTTTAATAAATGCATATAAGAGTGATATAAAATTACAATAATTACTTAAAAATTTGTATATAAAGAAATGAAAGTATTTGACTTTTCTTGTCATAAAATATTGAATTAATTTGACTGTATTAATTCGACTATATTATCCAATAAATTAGATGCACCAATTCTAAATAAATCTTTGGATAACCATTCCTTCCCTAATTCCATTTGAACTAACATCATCCATTCCAAAGCTTCTTGTGGAACCTTAATACCGCCAGCAGGTTTTAAACCAACCTAAATAAAGTATATTTTAATAATAAATACACCAGGCATCAAATATTTTTTTTGTTTTGTTTTTTACTTATGTGAACACCTATACCTTTCTTTGTGTAGACTTATAATAGTCCTTAATTGCATGACACATAATAATTCCAACAGACAAAGTAGCATTTATTGCTTCTTTTCCAGTAGATGTTTTAATAAAATCTGCTCCAGCCAACATTGCTACCATTGATGCTTTGTATACATTTTCTAAATTACCTAATTCTCCTGTAGCAAGTATGACTTTCAAACATTTGTTGTTACAGGCAATGCGAAATGATTTTAATTCTTCATATAGTTCTTTCCATTGATGCATCAAAGCCAATGGTCTATTGATAACAATATCAATTTCATCAGCTCCTAATTCAACAGCTATTTCTACTTCACGAAGACGTGTTTCTAGTGGAAATTGTCCAGATGGAAATCCTCCACCCACTATTTAAATAATAATAATAATTTACTTTATTATATTTTAAATACAAATAAAAAATATAGTATATAATTACTTACCAGTAGCTCTAGATATTTTATGTTCTTTATCAAGTTTCTCTAATGTAGATCTTGCATTTATAAATCTCATAGGATATACATATACAGATGCAACATGCAAGTGTGAGTTATCTGATAGTTTAAGAGGGTTTACTGCCTATAATTATAGAAATATATAAAAGTCAATATTTTAAAAGCTACATCAAGCATAAAAAGTTTTAATGCAAAACTAAATATTACCTTAGTACATAAAGTTTCAATTCTTGTAGGTGTATCATCACCACCTAAAGAAGTTAAATCTATAAAACCTATTGCTTTTATCAACCAAGCAATTTTAACATCTGTTTCCAATTTATTAACTCTAGAAAGTATAGAATTAATTTTTTCATCTATTTGCGATTGATCGAAATTTATCGTACCTAAAACAAAAATATGTAAAATTTAGAAATACAAAAAAATAAATTAAACGTAAATTACCATTAGTCAATTTTTGAATATCCATTGTGTTCCTTTTAAAATTTTTAAACTGTATTTTGTCTGAGCTAGATACCCAATATGTATAAAAATGAATATGTAAGAGGGGAACGATTGCCTTAAATTTATTCGCGATATCATTCAAAATTTCTTTTTAGGAATTGATAACACCATAATCGTCTACACTTTGCGATTGTCGGTAAATGATATAATAAAAAATGTAAGTTTCATGTATGTGTGCATTTATCTATATAAATGTCATCTCTCCTTATCTTCATAAAATTTCTCCCACTTTATTCTAACATTGTAATATACGACTTTTATCTAATACTACATTGTATGTATCAATTATATATTTCTCGCGCAAAGATTAAAATGTTATTTCTTTTTTCGTAGATTAAAAAATGTTTATCTTGAAAGAAGAACCATTAGTCAATCTGATTTATAATTTCTACATTCTAGCTTTTAATTTAAAAGAAAATACCAAGAATATTTTACTGCTGTTTTATATCGATAATTAACAGCACTAGTACTCGTTGCATAAAGTGGCGGTAATCGCAAATATAATTACTTACCAGTAGCTCTAGATATTTTATGTTCTTTATCAAGTTTCTCTAATGTAGATCTTGCATTTATAAATCTCATAGGATATACATATACAGATGCAACATGCAAGTGTGAGTTATCTGATAGTTTAAGAGGGTTTACTGCCTATAATTATAGAAATATATAAAAGTCAATATTTTAAAAGCTACATCAAGCATAAAAAGTTTTAATGCAAAACTAAATATTACCTTAGTACATAAAGTTTCAATTCTTGTAGGTGTATCATCACCACCTAAAGAAGTTAAATCTATAAAACCTATTGCTTTTATCAACCAAGCAATTTTAACATCTGTTTCCAATTTATTAACTCTAGAAAGTATAGAATTAATTTTTTCATCTATTTGCGATTGATCGAAATTTATCGTACCTAAAACAAAAATATGTAAAATTTAGAAATACAAAAAAATAAATTAAACGTAAATTACCATTAGTCAATTTTTGAATATCCATTGTGTTCCTTTTAAAATTTTTAAACTGTATTTTGTCTGAGCTAGATACCCAATATGTATAAAAATGAATATGTAAGAGGGGAACGATTGCCTTAAATTTATTCGCGATATCATTCAAAATTTCTTTTTAGGAATTGATAACACCATAATCGTCTACACTTTGCGATTGTCGGTAAATGATATAATAAAAAATGTAAGTTTCATGTATGTGTGCATTTATCTATATAAATGTCATCTCTCCTTATCTTCATAAAATTTCTCCCACTTTATTCTAACATTGTAATATACGACTTTTATCTAATACTACATTGTATGTATCAATTATATATTTCTCGCGCAAAGATTAAAATGTTATTTCTTTTTTCGTAGATTAAAAAATGTTTATCTTGAAAGAAGAACCATTAGTCAATCTGATTTATAATTTCTACATTCTAGCTTTTAATTTAAAAGAAAATACCAAGAATATTTTACTGCTGTTTTATATCGATAATTAACAGCACTAGTACTCGTTGCATAAAGTGGCGGTAATCGCAAAAGCATTATTTTACTATGCCTACTTTCAAGGTGAAGGATCAAAATTTATTAAGGATCAAGGAATATTTTAATTAGCGAAGCAAATAAGAACTAGCAATCTGATTTTTTTCTATCTATCTTATTTATTCTCCTGTTATAATGCTGTGAAATTTAATTAAAATATTAATTGCATTGTACATTGTTTGAATAATTTAATTATTTAAATATTTGAATTTTAAATATTTGAAATATTTCTAATAATGAAATAAGATTTTATTAATTAACTTTTATTTTGTGATTATTAGTACACATTGAATATTACTTAAATAACTAATCTAGTAGGATATTTTTTGTTTATTGCAATAATTTTTTATTTACTATATAGTTTAAACATAAAATAAATAAATATTATAAATATTCCAATATATTTAACATATTTTATGCAAATTTACTATGTTTTTAGTATATTACACTTAAAAGTATTTATTACAATTTTCAACTTAATGTTGTACTTTTTCAATAATGTCTATTATTAACGACTTGAAGTTCAGTCATTTGGATAAGAAAGTTACTAAATAAAACTACACAAATTTCTATTAATTGCAATTACTATTATCTATACTGTTGCCATTGTTCCCAATACTGTGTAGTTTGCATTTCCGAAAGGCGTGATACAGTACGATCGAAAGCGAAAAGTTCTTCTTCTCCAGTAAAAAGATTAGATTTATGATCATCCTATTAAGGATATAAAATTGGAGAATAATTTGCCAATTAAAAAGGTAATAATTGTCATTGTTCAACTTACTGATCCATGTGATATTTTTAAATCATCCATTAACATTCGTTTTTCATCTGTATATTCACTGTCTTTTTCTGGTACAAAAAGTTCTGTATGTGGTACAGCTGCAGATATTACAACACGTACCTAAGAAATAAAATTTATTTGGATAAAAATATTCATATTTCAAATGATTAGACATATAGTAGACTAGATGAAATAATTATGATATTATAACTATAATCTTACCTTATTATCATATAATGTGTCAATTAATGTAATAAATCTTCTAGTTTGAGATTTAAGACGAAAATTTAGCTGTGGCACATCTCTTATAATAACTGTATGAAATGCTTGACTTAGTTCTAAATAATCACTGGCACCAAGTGGCTAAAAACGACAAATTACATGGTATATTATTTAAAAATTTTTATAAAATTTTATAATAACTTACTCTATCACATAACTCTTCAAAAGTTGTATCCAACACCTGACCACAGGTTCTTTTAAATGTAACATTACGGCCCCTTATAGAAATAGTTCGAGATCTCACAACATCATTTTCCTTTGAGCATAAATATTTAAACACTTTGTCTACATCACTTGTTGCATCCTCTCCTTTTCTATAATTATTTTTTTCTAGATAATAATACCTTTTTTTATATGCTCCATTTTTATATATAATTATACATACATGAAATAAATCTTTTCGTCTCTAAGTCCTGTTTTCAATCTATAATCTATACCTGAATCTAGGGAATTTATAATACAATAATTTTTCAGAACTTGTATAAATGGAATAAAGTTCCCCCTTTGTAGTCCATTTTTATATAAATCATCGGGTGCTCTATTACTAGTTGCAATAACAATTACACCATTATTAAAAAGTTCAGTGAATAATCGCTTTAATATCATAGCATCTGCAATATCAGTTACCTATAATATATAAACTTCTATTAATATATATTACACTAAATTATAAATAATTGATTATATATTTAAAAATTATACCTGAAATTCATCAAAACAAAGTAACCAAGCTTCTTCAGTAATACTTTTTGCAACTGGTGGTATTGGGTCAAACGGTTGGAGTTTTGTACTACTGACATCTCTTATAATACTTTTTTTTATTTCATGCACCTTATTATGTACACCCAACATAAAAGAATGAAAGTGTACTCTTTTTTTGTTTTCAATCTAAAGTAATATATGTCAAAATAATTACTTATTTGTTATATTATTTAAAAAGCTTATTTTGCAATGTACTGCAGACGGAAAGTCATTTATAATATGAAGGTATTATAAATTATAATTTATAATATTAAACATTTTTTTATATCATGGTCTTCATTACACAAAGCAAATCCTATTTTGTAGTAATTATCATATACACAAATTGTACTGAAAAATTTGAATTATCACATTATTAATTAATAATATATATTTGAACTCTCCATGTGCAATAATTACATGAACTATAAATTAAGGTACCTGACAACATTGATAGAAAAGATCCATCAACATGGTTTTACCTCCACCAACTGCTCCATAAAGATATAGTCCTTTTGGTGGTTGCTTTCTTTTTCTACCAAGCCACTTGTCTAATAAGTTGAATTCTTCAGGTTTATATCCATTTAGTTCTTCATAAATACCTTGTAATGTCTTAGTAACTTTTATTTGATGTTCATCTTCCATTAATTCTCCTTTTGCTATTTTATTTTTCAGCATAGCAATTGGGCCTTTTTCAATCAAAGTAACATCATAAACATATCCATGATTTTGGATGAATTCATAGGATTGAAATCGTGATAGTAAATTTGTAAAATAATTCTGATTCAAAAATCTTTTTGGTAACAAGTAAGTCATCATAGAAAAAAGTTTCCTAAAGAAAAGTTCATAATTCATTACTTATGTACATTATTCGTACATATTATTATTTAAAATAAATGTTTATTCTTACAGATAAATGTTGACAAATGTACATTTAATTTTAAAAATTGATAAAATTGATCAAATTTTGCAGTGAATATAATTAAAGATATTTACATATTCAACCAAATTTACGTTTGACAGACAATCAGATGAAGCATGTTAACCTTTATATTACGTACAAAAATATATTATATACATCTACCTCAAAATAGAACACACACACACACACACACACACTAAGGAATTTAAAAAGATAGGTGTGAATTATGACCTTGATAAATATGAAAATTAAATAACTCAGAAATGTATAGTCAAAATTTATATATGTTTTGGTTTCCTCTGGTTCCGATTATTTGTTAAAATTGATTCTTTCATGATATTTAAATGCTATTCGATAGAAATTTTGTATAAAACGAAATTTAATTTGAAAAATTATATATCGCGCGCTATGTTATGACGTAATTACAAAAAAGAATGTGGGAATGTCAGATGTGATTTATTAAAGACTGTTCACACGAGTGTATAGTGATGTCAGCCGACTTGTGACGTATGAAACTTTATTCATAAACTAAAACGTTTAAATAAAGTCGAAAGAGAAATAAAATATTCTTTACTTTTTAATATTTTAATAAAATAAATACATTATTTTTACATGCAATTATGGAAAAAACGAAACATATATAATATATAGTTAAAAATCTTCAATTTTATATTTTATATAAATATCTTAATGTTATTTAAAATAATTATTTATATTTCATTTTATTGGCTCATATTTTGCTACAAATATATATTTCATACAAATTAGGAATGTAATATGAACTGAGAAATTTAGGAACAAAAATTCTATTAAAATAAAATTCATAGCTTTTCTGAATTTTTAATCATTATGATAGATTTTTGAACTGTATGGAGGACTATACATTGGCAGTCTTCGTTTGTCAGGACTGATTCCTTCTTTTGATGAATAGTAACGTCTTTCAATAACTTTGTCAAAAAACCTACTCAATTTAACAGAAGAGCTAGAACCAGCAGCTAATGATCTGATCTGATGACAATCCTATAAGAACAACATTAATTTCAAACAAATTTAACAAAACATTAGTATGTAATTAATGTTTTTAATTGTAAAAAACAAGGATATACCAAAAATATTTCATCAGCACCACATTCTTCTGCAATAGTCGAAGAACGTCTATGCACATTAGATCTAACTTCAGCAACTAAATCTAATTTTGTACCAATAACTAAAATTGGTATCTAAAAAAATAATTTTAATTACAAAAATAACATGATACAGAACATATATTTGTGTGTAATAATTTGTATTACCTGTGTACATCCTACAAATTTTTCAGGATCAAAATCATCAAATGGTTTTGATTTCATATAATTACTGTCTTTACTCAAAACTTCTTCAAGCCATTTTTGTAGATTTTGCTGTGATTTTCTGTTTGTTAAATCATGAACTAATATGATACCTGTTTTATTAACAATAATTAATAATTATTAAATTTTTATACTATGTTCCTAGCTTAGATATTTTGTATTTGTACCATTTGTAGGATTATAAAAGACAGATCTTGTATTTTTATGATTTTGACTTCCCCCAATATCCCATAATTCAATAAAGTATCTCCTTTGATTAGGAGTTCCTTCTTTATATTCATGTAATTTAACTTCTACTGAGCAACCTATAGTCCATGAAGGATTATTAATAGGTTGTTGTTGACAAATTAAATGTGTTAATGATGTTTTTCCAACACCTAGAAATAATGTAATCATAATGATAGTTAATCATAGAAATAAATTATATTTAAAAAATATATATATATACACACATCAAATCAGATGTATAGATCAAATAGATAACCTACAAATAAAGTTACCAAAATATGTATGAAATACACAAAATACAACTTTTAATATAGACAAGTTAAACAATTAAATATGATTAAACAATATATTTTAGGAATAAATCTAACTTTCCTTATATTTAATTAAAAAAAAAAACAGGTGATGGTCGGCAAAAAATATAATAATTAATAACAATAACAAAAAGTATTTTAAAATTATTTTATATATATTCTTACCAGAATCACCGACGACAATAATCTTAACTTTATCGATTGCAGCCATTAATAATTTTCATTAAACCATATAAAAATATATATCTTTTTATTACTTTATACCAGTTGATTGACAGGTAGTCATTTGATAATTTTCTATTATGAATACATAACCTAAAAGTAATTGTACTTATAAACAAGCATCTATTAAGATGGTACTTTATCATTTTTAAGAAACAATGAAATCATGTATTTCATCTCGTTATTTTTTTATTTCTCTTGAGAGAATATATAATTAATATTGTAATACATACTTTAATTTTCTTATATTGGTATTTATTCGAAATATTTGATGATAATATTTATACTATTTTAAAGGTTAGCATTTTCGTACAAACTAAATTTAAAATAATACACTCTGTGAAATAGATTATTATATTTTTATATTAATACAATCATAAAATTAACAAAATGTTAAAAATTTTCAAAATATATTGTATAAACAAATAAATACAAGTTACATAAATATTATAACAATTAAAGAATAAAAATTTTGTAAAGGTTCTTTTAATAATTCTCACATTTTGTTATATGTACACACAAATAAGATGAGTGGTGAAGAAAGACTTGTTACAGAAGTTCCCAGTAGTTTAAAACAATTAGCACGTTTGGTAGTACGTGGGTTTTATACAATAGAAGATGCATTGATTGTTGATATGTTAGTTAGAAATCCATGTAAGTATATTATATATAAATTATAACATTGTGTTTAATATGAAAGTTCATCATTATGTTTTATTAGGTATGAAAGAAGATGATATTTGTGAACTTTTAAAATTTGAACGAAAAATGTTAAGGTCTAGAATATCTACGTTACGGAATGATAAATTTATACAAGTTAGATTAAAAATGGAAACGGGTTCAGATGGTAAAGCACAAAAAGTTAACTATTATTTTATTAATTATAAGGTAAGTCATTAAAGTATTTGAACTTTATTTCTTTTATCAAGTAATCTATTTTATATTTTTATATTCTAGACTTTTGTAAATGTGGTAAAATATAAATTAGATTTAATGAGAAAAAGAATGGAAACTGAAGAAAGAGATGCTACTAGTAGAGCCAGTTTTAAATGTACAAATTGTTTAAAAACTTTTACTGACCTTGAGGTAAGTAAATTATTTATAAATTGTACAACAATGTTTCTCAAAATTTTTAACTGTGTAATGATTAAAGTAAAAAGAAGTAACTATATAAAGTAAAAAGGACAAAATGCAGGGAGTAATTTGAGAAACAGTTTTATTACCATATAAATATTTAAACAGTAAGATACTTATTAACATAATATAATGTAGGCAGATCAATTATTTGATATGACTACTGGTGAATTTAGATGTACATATTGTCGTGAAGTAGTAGAAGAAGACCAATCTGCCCTTCCTAAAAAAGATTCAAGATTATTACTAGCTAAATTTAATGAACAACTAGAACCTCTTTATATTTTATTAAGGGAGGTAGAAGGTATCAAATTAGCTCCTGAAATATTAGAACCTGAACCAGTGGATATAAATACTATTAAAGGGTATCAATTTTTAATGAAATTATTAATAACATAGAGAAGTTATTGTATATTATTTATATTTTCTTCTTTTTAGCATTGATACAAGAAAACCAAGCAGTCTAAGAGCACCTGGTGAGCAATGGTCCGGTGAAGCTACTAGATCATCAGGTTTTATGGTAGAAGACACAAGAGTAGATGTTACAATTGGCGATGATTCTATCGACGATAATGCAGCAAATAGAAGAAAAGAAAGACCAATTTGGATGATGGAAAGTACCGTTATTAACTCTGATTCACAGGTAAATTTTATTTTAGAAATTTAGTGTTAATACTTTATAGTACTCCTTTATAATGGTATTATATTTTAGCCTGATGGAGTTAACACTCAAGAAAACATCTTAGATAAAGCTGCAGCCACTGCTACTAACACAACATCGACTAATAACAAACAAGGTGAAGACATAATGTCTGTATTATTAGCTCATGAGAAGAAAGGAGGAACAAATTCAGCAGCTGCTATAAAATCTGTACTACCTCAAGAGTCTAGTGATAGCAGTGATAATGAAGCAGTTACTGAAATGCAAGCTATTGATACAGGTATGATCTTAAAACATGTTGTAAATTATTATAGTAATATTGCCATTTAAGAACATATACACATATTCTACATTTTTTTAGGAGAAGTAGAAACTATGGATTCTGAAGATGAAGATCTTGTACCGACCGTAACTGTCGCAGGAAAAACTGTTGCTATTGCGGATGTAAATGATGCATTAATTGCTGAAATGACTCCTGTGGAGAAAGAGTCATATATTCAAGCATATCAAGAATATTATTCGCATATGTATGACTAATTAGAATGCAGTCAGCATTGATAAATATTTAACAATGCTTTGCAAGACTGAGTGATTATTAAAATTTCTGTAATATTTTGTATAGTCATAAAATAAATAATTTTCTGGGTTTGGTAAATATTTATTTTCTTTATTTTTCCTTATTGTGTAACATATTAATATTTTTAAGGAAATATAAATTAAATAAACTTAGAAATCAGTATTTTGAAATTTTTTTATTTCTCTTCTAATATACAGATATAGATCAACGATATCATCAGTTAGTAATAAACATTTACAGACTCGTACATTATAATCACCATAAATAAAAATTAATACATGTCACTTCTGGTAAGGCGGGAAAATCTTAGCCAGATATAAATTATTCATTAAGCTTACTTAGAATCATTTTTTTTTTCCGTCTTTATGTAAATTTCTAACCGACCACCACTACCGGATAGAAATTATAAGACGATATTGATTTTTCTATTATACTTTTCACTTTTTTTTGTCCTTTTTCGTTACATCTTTCTTAATTCTGTACCTTTTATTCTTTTGTCAGTCCTTAAATATAACTCACATCAAAAGAATCCTAGAATCGATAAATTCTAAATATACATATATATAATACACTGTATTATTTATGATTAGTTCGATATAATTCTATTGCATTCTGATTTAAATTTACTACTAAGAATTATTAATCTAAGATTCTTTTAAAGTAAGTATTTGCCTCCTTGCAAATAGTTTTTTTACTCTGGCTCATTTAAGCGCAAACGAGCGAAGTCTTCGAAAACAATATTGTCATCGTCATCATTTGAATAGCAAGAATTCTCATAACGTGCCCTCTCAATGCTCTTATTCTTCTTCAAAATAGATTTTTCTTTTTCTACAAGTCCTGTGGCAATAACATAATATTTGTTACGAGTTGTAATTATTTAGAAATAAATTGTCGTTATTGTTATTATTGAATATTCATTAAAATTAAAACTTACCAGGTGTTGGATGCATTAGTTTAAATGGAACATCTGTAACTAATTCACCTCCCAAAGTGCCACAGTTTAATTTTACTCGAACAGAATAAGAGATGACAATACCCATAGCATCACTAGGAGTTTTACCTTCTGCGACCATAGTTGAAGATGCAAGATTTACATCATCATCCTACATATTAAGCAAAGTATGTGAAAATATGATCAACAAAAAAGGAATTATTCTTTTACTTAATAAAAGTATTTTTTTTCTACCTTCAAATGACCATCAAGAGCAATTCCACGGCGATCCTTGTTGCTGCTGGCTAATGGAACAAGATAAAACTGTTTTGTAAAGGATGCTCCGGGTGTGATTGGACAACCTTCACGTGTTTCTAAACTGGCCACATGTCGAGAGAACTGAGTATTAACCATTGTTACTTCACAATGTTGTACTACAAAGAGCTAAGACATATAAATATTGAAATTAGATGGCTAAATACAATTCATCACTATTATATTACATCAAATGCATATATAAATACCTTAATATTTTTAACTGCTTTACGAGAATTATTTGTAACTATAACATTTGCAGCTACTTTTTCTCCATGATAATAAATCTCCCTATCAAGTGTAACTTCCAAATTCAATTTGCCTTGAGAGAAAGTAAATCCTTTTGAAACTAAAGAGGTAGGCAATTTACGTCCTCTGGTAGGAGGAGCATATTGCAATTTTTTTATGGCTAATGCAACAGATGATCTTTTGTGACCCTATATATAAATTACAAATTATATGCATATACATATTTTACACCTTATTAATAAATGAACACTTAACTGTAATTAGGGTATTACCTTATCTTCTTCATGTTCACCAACATATACTCTGACAGTATATTCTACTCCTAATGGTTTTCCTTGATCATCATCGCCAGGTTGTAATGTAACAGAACTAGGAGAGGATTGTGGAAATTGAAATATGAATGGATATGCATTTGGTCCAAGACGTTTGAGAAGGCGTTCTTGAATGGGTGTCATATCTTGTTTTTCCTTCTTCAATGGAACTATTTGCTCCCGACACAAAACGAGTTCTTTGCTAAATTTGACACCCATAACTTCATCTTCCTCGCGTCCATAACGGAAAGTTGTTGTTACCTGAGTAATATAAAAATAAAATATGCAATGTTGTTTATATGTATATTATTTTATGTATTAAAGTATTTAATTTTATTCCTTGCCTGTCCATAAACTTTTCGGCCTTGAAGATAATCATTTTCAACAACAATAACACCATCAATTGGATCTATGCTATCCAAATGATCAATGAAGTCCCTTTTACCAAGGTAAACCGTAACTTTTCCTACAATTAATAAAAAATTGTAACATTGGAAACAAATTGCTTCAAAGCAAAAACTATCAATTCTTTTAATATTGCTCATAGAAAATTCTTAACAATATTTTATTACTTACCATTTGGAGTTGTTTTCTTGAATACCTTGATGGCTACAACAAGAGTCAAAAACAGAAACGGAAACATTTGGAACTCTTTCTCCAATCCAATAGATTAGCAGAAGTTTGTTTCCCTCCCAGAAGTGACAGTCTTAGCAAGAACAGCCACGCTTTATATAGTCCTGCAGGGGCTTCTTTACTTGAAGCCATACTACTAATAGCATTAGTTTATTACACAAGTTAGTTAATGAGATTAGAACACATATGTAAGAATTTTGTTATGCATATTGTGGAACTAACTCAGTAGTTCATGCACTCTCAACTAGGAAAGATGGTAAAGTTTAGCATTAGTGTCAACTTTTCTTATAGTATATCAAATATTTTGTAAACTTACGTATAAAAAAATATTACGTGCAACTATACATTCAGTTAATATAAAAAGGCTAATATAAAGAAATACACGTGATCAGTCTTACATTTATGTTTATTTCAATAATAAGTGCTTACATAATATAATATGGAGGTATTTTAATTGAAATTAAAACCCTTGAATCCTTAAGGAATCACATTGGTATATTTTCACAAAATTTTTCTTAATGATAAACAATATTTTTCTCAAGTAAATATTAATCATTATTGACAATTAGAACCACTTATATTCCTTTCTTTTTTCACATTCAGCAGTCAGTAAACACTTCATATATCATGTACATTATTGTATGAACACTAATATTGTGTTCCCAAATTGTTCTGGTAACTAAAAGACACCTTCTTTTTGGGAATGAATAAGGCAATTCTTAATGCCCATTTTCAAAATGTAATTTTACAGGTAGGGAAACGAATTTTCTCAATATACAAATATTAGACTAATAAAAATAACTTGTAACATGTTCACAAAAATTTTTTTTGATAAATATTTCTTGGTGCCTAATGCTTTTCCAATATGAGTGAATTTCATGCTACAATAAAAAGAAAAAATGCATGCAGCAACCAAGAAAGCCTCATTCATATTGCTTCCTCATATATTTGAGCTTCTTTTCAAATACAAAAAAAAAGCAAAGAAACGAAATATGATATAAAAATAAACGGTTATAAACTAAAAATTTAAAAATCAATAACAGTAGGTAATATATAGTAGAATTATCGCGATAAACATGTCTAATAATAGGCACAATTAAGGTATAGGTATTATATATTCATTATTTACTGCTTTATTATGCTAAAGAAAGCCGTTGCTATCAGGGAACAGAAATATTTGCGAAATTTCATGAAATCTTTATTTCAAATATTCATTTTTGACAATATATTCGTACAATGCTACAAACTATATCTTATTCTGAGTTCTTTGCAAACTTTTATATTTGTATTTGAAACTGGAGGATACTTTTGCTAAAAAAAAAATAAAATATTAATACATTATGAAAATTCAATAAAATTTAAGTAATCGTGACAAACTAATAAGTCATTCAAAAATAATTTACTTGAGATTTCAAGGAATAGTTTTTAATCTCAGAAAGGAACAAAACCGATTCTTGGTATTTATTTAAAATATTGTTGATAATTTAGTTCTACAAGTTATGTACGTTATTTAAATTCGAACACATCCATTTTAGAGGAAATGTTGTTTACATTGAAAATTTATACATGCAGTAAACCATACACACAAAAACAAATATTTCATATCGCAATCGCTGAAATAAGATTTTCTAAAACATTGCATATATTTATCTTACACTTTGCAAAAATAAAATACAACTAAGGTTCAATGAAAACAACTTTCCCTGATATATGGTTTAATAATCTCTCCATATGCACAGTACTTTCTGCCAAAAACTTCAATATACATTGTTTTATATTTGGATTACAAGAGTATTCGCATATGGTTGAGCAATATCTAATACATGTATCATTAAATTAACAAGGAATTATTTGTTTACCATTTCTTAACACTTTCTTTTAAAATGTGCAAGAAATGAACATTTATCTATTTTTAGTTAGTTACGTGATATTACAGAACCCTGTGCAAGTCAAGCTCTTAACTCCAAGCATAGCCATGCACTGTATATACATGAACTTCTACATGTATTCATGTTTGTACATAACTAGAATTTCGATACAGTTCCCTGATACCAGCGCATTTCTAACATCGGCCAGTACAAATATTGTTAGTTTCAATAGTATACACTGTAGATTTTTGTAGTATGATTGCTGTTTACTGCAAACCTACTAAACTTACATTACTAATTTTTTTTTGTTTTTTTTTTTTTGTTTTTACCAGACATTTTTTCAATGTAAGTCGTAGTATGAATTTTTTTTTAAAGATGTTGTTGAACGAGGTGGTGCTGCATACCTCGACTTAAATTTCAAGCAAAATTTTCTCACACAGTAGAAATCTACGATAATAAAGAAAACTAATAGAAATATTGATTATATTCATAAAGAAATTAATCACCTGTTCTATATAGCTGATGTCAGAGATATAATTCAATTTTACATTATCATTATTTAGCTCACCTAATATTCTTCACAGAAACATGTCCTTATAAATAAGAATCTTGTTTTAGGATAGATCTGAAAGAATTAAAAGAATCAATATAAAGTACATTTGCAAATATAAAGAAAATATTTTTACATTCAAATTAGTTAACATTACTTACAACTTGGCGCAGCTGCAGATTCAAATCTCTTTTGTATCTGGTCATAGGTAAATTTAACAAAAGCATCATATTGCTCAGAGAGCTTCATATTTAAAATCTGATCATATTCTTCTCGGATCTGTGTCTCCTGCTCTTTAAGCATTCGTTCACAGATCAAACCCACCTATAAAATTATTTACGTAATAAAATCTTATAACCTGTGCAATTTTGATTTAACTATTTCAATATAAGCTAGTAAAAATTACAAATTATGAGTTACCTGTCTGAATGTAAATAAAGGTTTTTCCTTTCCACTAGGACTATAACTACATGAATTTGAACCATAAGCAGATGGGCTTGAAGGACTTGCAGGACCTTCCATGTCTGAAGAATCACCACTATTGTTTTGAGGACTAAAATGCAATTGTTTGCGCCGATGTAATCTCCGAATCTCTTCTCTTATATTAGCAGCCATTTTTTCTATATGCAAAAGAATGATTTTCACCTATAATATTATGTCTGCAGAAAATTTAGCTTTTTATATTGTAATTTTATTTAAAGTTTTAATTAAATATATATAGAGATTATTATTATAAAATTTAAATTAATTGTGGCTGATAAATGTAAGTTCTAAGTTCTAACTTATTATATTAATAATTATTATGTTTATAACAGATTAATTAATAGGGTAAGGTATTTAAAATATTTGGGAACATGGAAAATTCAAATTATAACTTCATAGTACTTTATTTTATTAATCAATCTGTAATGTCATAAAAATAAACAATTTCTAAAAACGTGATCATTTATAAATAAGGAGGAAAGGGGAGTTGATTCTCCATGTCCGTTACTACATTACCATATGATTTACGCATCTTCCCCTACCTAAATGCCGCACCTTCCCTTCCCCCTTTAAACATCGTGAATTCAAGTTTTAAATCGCTAAAACGATTTAACCATCCCTTCTTTGTCATATCATAGTAAGAAAGAATGAAATAGAAGAAAGAAAAAATAAAAATGGCCGTAACTTATAGTAATTACCAGGCGTCAGTTTATGGGTTACTTCGCCAAAAGGCGAAGGATTCTGTGGCCTGGAATTAGCTTGCGTTGATGTACTGGGGGAAACACACATTGGTACACATCTTCGTCGTTTACTAGGCCGACCATGACTATGTACCGGGTCGAACTCCAAAGATCTTTTTAGAGTGGCGCAGGCCATTTCTCTCCTTTACCGTCCCGTTCACAACTGACACTCAGATTATGGGCTTAGCCCGCGAGCTACGATGATTATGCCGAAAAATACAGCAAAACCACCGTATACGCGCACTGCCTGAGTAGTTTCTTTAACTGCACTCTAGTTCTTCTCTCTTCCTTCGTGTCGATCCCCTCGGATTTCTTCGTGTTCTGACTAGACTGCACCAAAACAAACACTGCAGTAAAACAATATGGCTGGCAACCACGGTTTGTCGGCTAGGAACGACCACGGAACGAATGTCTCAACCATCAAAGCACCATCTTTTCACTGGTCACTACTTGCATTCCGAAATGTATACGTCGCAGGCTCAACTAACCCGAGACTCTTCGTTTCTGATTGGTCAATATGTTGTATGGTGGCGTCTCTTTGCATTTCCTCCTTCTGACGTATTTTAATTGAAATTCAAGTAACAAAGATTTGATTGCTTCCAAAATTTAAATTATTTTTTCAAATTACCATAATTACTTTATATATTCTTTATAAATCTAAAGTTTATGAAAAATTAACTGATATTTTAAGAAAAATTAATTTTTCTAAAAACAGAGGTTTCAGATTTATAATTTACAAAATATTTTGATTTTGGATAAATGAGAAAATACTTGAAAATTGCAATATTATTTATGAAGATTTTATTGTATTCAATTTACACACAAATTTTAATCAAACATTTTGAAGGTTTAACTTCATTAAGATCAGCATGCATATAAAAAAAGAAGATTGAAATTGAAAATTGTAACACTTCTTGGAAATGCATATTCTCTGACAAGTACAGTTATGAATATTAATTCATGATTATTTGACAATTTGCAACGATTTATTAAAAATAAATTGTAGTATTTGAAATATTTTTTTATATCATTGGTAGTAAAAAAGTACTTTGTAGTTATGTGTTAAAAATGGGCAATTCTACAGGTTTGCGTAATAATTTAGATTTTCATTTAAAAGCAGTTTCATAAAGCATGCGCATGACTTCTGCCTACCTCTCTCTATTCGCTTTAGGGAATTTCAAGCGGTGTCAAGAAGAATCTTCCGCCATTCTATATTTACGATTTTTACCAAATTGTTATACGTTTTATCCATTTTCTCACAGCCCGTCCAAAAAAGCGACGAATAATGACAACAGTGAGTCCTGTAGTGATAGCAGCTACGGCGAGACATACAGCAACAGTAAGCGAATAATGTCTTCAAGATGTCTTTTGATCTTTTCTTGGTTATACTTGACGTAAAGTGATTTTTAATTAACCATAAGTTAATTATTCTTGACATAATTTCATCATATAATTATTAAATATGTACATAACATTTTTATGACATTTGTTTATTTTTCGTATCTAACATTTATGCCTTTTTCTAAAATTAAGATTTTTCAGTATTAAAAGTAATTTTTTAAAAATTAATATTTGATTTATGTTATACTTTTGTTTAATAATCACGCACATTACTTTAAAATATAGATAGAATTATCATTATATATTTAAATGATTTCATTACTTTTATATAACATAATCTTATTTTTGTTTTAGCTTATATTTTTTCATGGATTGGGTGATACTGGGTAAGTTACAATTTATATAATTAAATAATATTAGTACAATTTTATAATTCTTATTTATTTAATTTATTTTATAGTCATGGATGGGCTAGCTCAATGGGTGCAGTAAGATCTCCACACATTAAAGTTATTTGTCCAACTGCGTATGTATAGTTAGAATATAAATTAGTTAGTTGCTTAGTTAGTATTGAAATAAATATATCACTTAGATTTATCATTTTAGACCTACAATGCCAGTGACATTAAATGCAGGATTTAGAATGCCTTCTTGGTAAGTAAATAATATAAGTACATAGTAAATTGATTATAGCTTCCATTAGTTATAGAAAGATGTATAGGAAATTATATATAAAAATTATTTTATTGTACATTGATAAATTTAGGTTTGACTTAAGATCTTTGGAACCAAGTGGTCCTGAAGATGAAGAAGGTATTCGCAAAGCTGCGGAAATGGTACATTCTTTAATTGCAGAAGAAGTTGCAGCCGGAATACCTACAAAACGTATTGTTCTTGGAGGTTTTAGTCAGGGTGGTGCTCTGGCTATATATAGTGCTCTTACATTTCCAGAACCCTTAGCTGGTGTTATAGCTTTATCAGCTTGGCTTCCTTTGCATCAAAAATTCCCAGCTGTATGTATGTTTATATAATAATATATTTAATATTTCATAACACTATAATATTAATAATATGACATTTCTTATAGGAAGCAATAGGAAATAAAAATACTCCACTGCTACAGTGTCATGGTGACTGTGATCCAATAGTGCCATATAGATGGGGTCAATTGACTGCATCTGTTCTTAAACAATTTATGACACAAACAGAGTTCAAAACATATAGAGGAATGATGCATGCATCTTGTGATGAGGTAGGTAGTATTTTAATATTTATGAAATTTTCATATTCTAATTATTTTGTAAAATAGTAATATTATAGATCTTTATATATTAACATATTTAACTATGCTTATTACTTCCACAGGAAATGCGTGACATGAGGAAATTCATTGAAAAAGTTTTGAAGCCGTAATAGTTTTTACTAAATATATTAATGTTTTAAACATTAACCTTATTACTTTATTGTTCTTTATTAAAAATTAATTACTTCCAACTTCACTGCTACTTAATTCTAGTGCTTGGTGAAAGAGTAAAGATCAGCAGTATAGGTAGAAATGTTTCTAATTCTGAAAGGAAAGCAGAATAATAGTAATGAATTATCATTTGTGTAAATCATACTTGAATGAATTATTTCTGTTTTAAGATATCAAAGTTACTATTGTAATATTCCCAATTTCCAATCTTACAGTTTGAATTAACAATCATGAGATTCTTAGATCTCACTCTAAATGCTTTTAAATGAAAGATAATATTAAGAAATAACACATTATCTTAAATGCATTGTTTTAATAAAATTTAATTTATTTTATTCACACGATGCACTTTATATGAAGCTAAATAATTTATAAATTGAAACAGTTTCTATCTTTCTAATAGAAAGAATATATTATTTATTTCCAGATAAATCTTTCACTTCTTAATGGATATAATAATTTTCGTTAGTTTAATTGTACTCCGTAAAAGCGTTTACTGTTATACTTTTAACTCAAATATTAATTTATGTAGTACAAGTATACAAGCATTTAAATATTCTTTTTAATATTTACGTTTATGTAATTTATATATAATGTACAAACATTGCTATTTATGGAATAATAATTTTGTAGAAATATCTAGGGACAGTAATATGGCCATGTAATCTGTGATTACAAAATATAATTTTGAAATCAATAAACACAGTAATTTTTAGTAGACACCATATTGCAAATGCTAGTCATGAAGAAGTATATGTCAGGAATGATGATATCATGGACAATTGTATAGTGCAAGAGTACTACCTTTTTAGTACTTATATTTTAGGTTTACCCAAATGGTACTATTAAAAAAAAAAAAAGGATCACGATTACAAGTATTTAACTGACAAGCAATACTAGTTGTTTAATAAAAAAAAAGGGGGAGAAGGATGATTATTTTTAATATTTAATTGTACTATTAAAACAGAATGAATCATGCATGTTAAACATATACTTTTCTTGTTTAGTATTTTATTTAAAATGTGTAATACAAACATTGTACATATGTAATGAATTTTCCTTTGTTGTTAATACTTTTATGTATTTGATTTGATTTTTTTATTGGAAATTGTGGTATGTATAATATTCATCTTACAGAACAATAAATTCTTTAATTTATGCAAATCATATACAAAAAAATGTACTTCATTGAATGTTCAATTAAGTAATTTATTGATCTATAAAATACACTATTGTGTATTACATTATTGATCTCTAAAATACAATTGAAATTAGCGCTATCTACGATTTTGAACCCGAAAACCGAGTTTGGTAATAGGAGCACAGAATATACGAGGAAGTCTTAGAACAACCAAATGGCGCCATCTGTGCTCCGGTTGCCGAACTTGAGCTTGGAATAAAAAATCATAGATGGCGCTGATATCAACTGAATAGGAATACTAACTCTGGTTATGTGCTCCGAATATATTTTAATAAATCAAATCGGCAGTGGAAAATTCACTAATTGCTCAATATCTGTGATTAATTTATTAACTTTTATAATTGCATCGTAAAGGCAGATCCTTTAAGAACTTTCCAATATATTTTTCGATGTAAATTTTTCCCTAATTAATTAATTATTAATGATTATTCTACGCAGTGTTTGAATTGTTGTCGAAGACGCCATTGGTTTTTCATTAATTACTATCCGCTACGCAATTAATTTATGAAACTTTATGCACTCATTATAAAAACAATGTTCTTGTGAATCTTCTCATATAAGTTTTGTTCACATTTTGTTTCTAGTTTCGTTTAGTATTAATTATTTTCACGGAAGATCGTGATGGTCGTCGTTACGAAATCATGGACGCCATCAAACAATAATTAATAACTAACTAATTCGTAACAAATTATGAACGAAAATTACTGAAGAATGTTGCTCAAAGTTTCAGCTTTTCAATGCAATTATAAAAGTTCATAAATTAATTACGGAAATTGTGTAATTTATTAACTTTTCACCGTCGGAGCCCTTCTATCCTTTTCTATCCTATTTGTGTCATTGTCTGACACGTGACGAGCTCTTCGACGATCTCCTTGCCTATTCTATATTCCTATTACTTTTCCAAGCATATAGTCCAAAATCATAGATAGTGCTGATCGCAGGCGGTAAAATTTTTATTCGAACTAGATACCTTTTCTGGTTATGCGCTAATAACACACCTTAATTAATCAATTCGGCAGTAGGAAATTAATAAATTTCCGAGTTTTTGTAATTATTTCATAAACATTTATAGCTGCACAGCAAAGTTGGAATTATAGGCAACTTTCTTATACAATTTTTGTACATAATTTGATGCTAGTTAATTTATTATTAATAATTATTTGATGGCATACGTGATTTCGTAGCAACGATCCGCATGATGGCTCGTTGAAGTACTTACTATAGATTTGTTGTATCGCGATACATTTGTCACAAACTGTAATCATTTAAATAATTAGTGTAAATACATTATTCAAAAATATAGTGTATTTATATCGTCTTGAAATATAATATAATATTTATTTTTTATTAGATACTTATATCAAATATAAAAATTACTTTAAATGATGGAAAATAAACATTTGTCCAATATTTTATGCTCCAAGAAAAATGGGATATTAGAAATCGTACTAAATCGACCAAAAAAAAGAAATGCCATTACTATTTCTGTATGTATTTTTTAAAATTACTTCGATTATGTTTATATAATTTATAATCTTCCATTTTATTTGAAGGTTAGAATACATAATATAAGATTTAAGTTTTATTCTGAAAACAAATAAAAAAATCAAATTTCTATAATTTTAATCATTTTACTGTGCAAATATTAAATGTTATTAGTGAACCTTTATTTATTAGATGTATAACAATTTATTACAAATCTTACATGAATCTATACAAGATAATACTATACACATAGTGGTTTTAACTGGTATGGGAAGCTTCTTTAGTAGTGGAAATGATTTTAGTTTTTTATTAACAAGTCAAGATGAACATGTATTAGATGTCAAAAGTATGATTAATGTTTTTAAGTGAGTATTTAAAAACATGTTAATCTTTAATTCTTCAGTTTCATAAATATCTTTAGCTTGTAACAAAAAATTTTATTATTTATTTATAGTTTAAAATAAACAATGACTTTAATTTCACTAATGACTTTTCAGAGAATTTATAGATGCATTAATTACATATCCTAAACTTTTAGTAGCTATTGTAAATGGTCCAGCAATTGGAATTGCAGTAACAATGCTTCCATTGTTTGATATGATATATGCATCAAATACAGTAATTGTTTACTTATATATGCTATTTAGTCTTTGCTATAGTTTATTATTTTTGTTAAATTACAATTAATTTATAAGCATTTCTTTTGTTGTAGGCTTATTTTCAAACTCCATTTACAAATTTAGGCCTTGTTGCAGAAGGATGTTCTACTTATACATTTCCCAGAATATTTGGGAAATCTAAGGTATTGAAAATTGAAATTTTATTACTTCTGATCAATTTACAAACTTTAAATAATGTTTAGGCCAGTGAAATGTTATATTTAGGATATAAAATGAGTGCAATTGAAGCTAAGCAATATGGTTTGATTAGTGAAGTGTACAAACATGAATGTTTAGATGATGTCTGGTTATATTTAAAAAAAATTGCTGAATTTTCATCAGAGGTATACTTTATCCTGTATAAAATATAAAATATTTATATAATTGTTTTAAACAAATATCTTATTTTTAGTCCATATTGGCAATTAAACGTTTAGTTAAAAAATGGAATCAGAATATTTTATTGCAAGTTAACGTAGAAGAATCAGCTGAACTTATAAAATGTATGCAAGCTTCCGACACTATAAAAAGACTGATAAATGTTATGTTACATAAGAGCAAAATTTAAATATTTCTACCATCTAGTATGTAGAATATATTTTTTATATAAAGTTTGTATAAAATATCTACTGTTTATACAGAACATGAAATAAATATTTTCCTTATTATTTTGTCTTATTTAATACAGAATTTTTTAGTACAAAAGTGATATTATTAGACATTTCAGACAGCATAGTTTCCTATAAAATATTTAAAAATAATCATTATCAATATTTATTTTCAATATTAGATATTCAACTGTTCTTACTTGAATTATCTTATCTGGAATTGGTTGTTGATAATGTTCCCATTTCAAAAGTTCGTTTATAGTTAAATTTGATTTTAGTGTTTTATTTTCTAGAAGAAATTGATACTCTCTATCACTCTCTTGACAAGGTTCTTCTGTTGTTTCTTTTAGTTTTTTATAACCATTACAAGTACACTTCATTAAATCGTGCGTTAAACAATTTGTATTTGTTTTTAATGTAAATAAATCCTGCAAATATCATATATTTATTTAGTATTACATTAAAATGTTCATTGTTTCATATACATATATAAAACTGACCTTTAATTCACTCATAGATAGTTTAAGGGAAGACGAACAATTTAAATCCACCACAGTTTGACTTAAATTTGCTTTGTTGACTTGTCTCTGAAAGATCTTTTCTTCAATAGTACCTGTAGTTAGTAATCTATAAATTTTATTTATATTACTATGAATATTTATGGTATATTTATATCTGTCTATATCTATGATTATAACATAAAGTATACAAACCTTAATATGTAAACATCTTTTTTCTGACCATCCCTCCAAATTCTTGCCATAGCTTGTGAATCAGATGCTGGATTCCAGTCTGAATCAAATAATATAAGTCGAGATGCACCGGGTAAGTTTAATCCAACTCCGCCAGCCTTTGCACTTAATAAAAGTACTTCTACAACAGTGGCATTAAGATTAAGAAAAATGTGTATACTAATTATGAAATTGAACGTAATATTAAATATACTAACTACTATTATTATCCATTGAATTGAACAGTTCTATGATTTTAGATCTTGCATTACTTGTTGTACTACCATCTAGTCTAAGAAATTGTAAATATTCAGTTTTACAAACAGTTTCCAGTAGATCGAGTGTTTGCGTATAATACGAAATCAATACTAATTTTTCATCCGTCTTTTTTAAATTTTTCATTAATGTTTGTACAATTGAAATTTTTCCACAATAAGCTTCCTTTGTAATATCTTTTACATTAGAACCTCTGTTAAAGTTTTTTAAATCAGCACATAAAATCTCATTTTTCCCAGTATAAAATAATTCTGGATGATTACAAATTTTTTTAAGAGCCATTATTACTGATAAAGGTGGTATAGCATTATTTGGTAGTACATTTTTATCGAGCCAAAGATCTATGACTGCCGAATACAAATCTACTTGCTCGCTCGATAAACGACAAAATACAATTAGTTCATGCTTAGAAGGTAAGTACTTATTAATTGTTTCTTGTGTACGTCTTAATATAAAACATTTCGTTTTTTCATGTAATTCATTAGCTCTTTCAGTTCCAAGAGATACAATGTGGTGTGGTGCATTAGGACATTGTAATGCTATAATGGGTTTTTCGTAATGCATTTTAAATTCAGAATTACTGCCCAGTATAGTAGGATTTACAAAGTCAACTAAAGCAAAAAATTCTTGTAAATCATTTTGTATAGGAGTCCCAGTCAATAGAATTCTTTTTTTACAATTTAAGTTATTTAAAATCTGGAAATAATAAGATATTAAAATGTCAGATACAATTACATATTAAATGTAGTATCACATCATATTAAATTTTCTTTCCTCTTTAATTAAAATTATATATTAATACCTTTGCTGCCTTTATGTCATTATTTTTTAATCGATGTCCTTCATCACATACAAGTAAATCAAAGGGTATTTGCTCAATTTCTTGTTGACATTTGACAAGCATCTCATAACTAACAATCATAATTGAGTTTCTTACTTGTTTTTTGAAATCTTTGGGTTTATTTTTGGCATTTATGATATATGGAGATATCCTATGAAAACCCAACCAATGTTTAAACTCTTTATTCCAATTATTACATAAACTACTAGGAGTTACTATTAATATATATTTTAATATTGGACATCCATATGGTCCTTTTTTTAATAATGTCCAAATAATTGTAATGCATTGTAATGTTTTACCAAGTCCCATTTCATCAGCTAAAATTGCTCCAAAATAATTAGGTATTTTTAAACCCATAATACATTCATATAGAAAAACAATACCATAGCGTTGGTGTGGTCTAAGAATATTTACTAAACAAGTATCTACAGACACTTCTTTCTCATTTTCTAACACATCATTCTCTATCCAGTTCTTTGAAATATTTATAGATGGCATTACTAATGGATGACATCTCAACTTTAACTCTTTAATGAAATATAAAAGTTAGTATGTTTTTTACAATATGAAATTTAGTTTCACAATGAACCTTCTATTTATTTTAATATACTATACCTTTATGTAAGGATCCTAATGGAACATATGGTTTAGAACTTGAAATTTTTAATTTCTTTGTGGGTGGTTCTGAAATCTTTTCTGGAGTAGATTTATGAGGTAAACATTTAGCTACTGCTTTGTCAATTATCTACAAACATATTGATATCAATTTTATGACGCAATTTATATATAAAAATTATTAATGTATGTAGATTCAATTTTACCTCAATTTCTTTGTTATCTATATACATTCTAAAGCCTTCCACAAGAACTTCTGGATTAACTTTAGTTTTATGAATAATATTGCCTACCATATCCTGTGCATCATATAAATTCTTTGTATACTTTAATAATAAAACAATATACATAGTTCGCTTACATTTTACCTTTAAAATTGCATATTTTCCTGTGACTTCCAGTATTCCATCATCGTCCCATTTCTTATGTTTTCTCATAGACTTTTTACCTATTACTACATTAAAAATACTAGACAAGAGAATAAATATATTGTTATTAAAATAATAAAATAATAAATAGGTAAAATAGATGTTTAAATGAATTAAGTATTTATGTATATACATTTTATTACTATCAGTATTATTGGCTGAATTTTCCTTAACGGTAATTGCATTATTTTTCTTTTCTTCAATTTCAATATTCTCTTCCTGTATTTTTTCATTATAACTTGTAGAAGTATTTTTAAATAAATTAAGAATTTTTGTTGTGCTTCTAATAAATGTTTGTTCGGAATCTTCTGATGATATATTGATATTTTCTAAATTTTGTTTGGATTTCCGTGGATTCATTGGTTGCTGATATTTCGAAGTAATTTTAAAATTTTTGCTTACATTATTACGATACATATTCGACGTTTGTATGTTATTCAATATATTTCATAATTAAATTACGCAATATAACATCTACTAATCATGAATTAATTATGATTAATAAAATATAAATGTGCTCTCTTAAAAAGGTTACAAGTTCTGAATATGCTTAAGAACTTAATGAAATTTGGTGTTCCCGCGTAAAATATTAGAAATTTTCCCACTAATCTTATGAAGTAAGCCTAACATTTTAATTTTATTTGTAATATAAAAATAAGAAATACGTAAAAAATTAAACAATGTAACGAATAGTAAGTATAATTTTTATAAAATTTACATAAAATAATTATAAAATAATCTTTTAAGTAACTCTTCTTTTCATTTTCAATGATAAGCTAAAGGCCGTTTTCATGAAGCAGTAGGTTAAACTGCTGTTAGTACATACTGTATGTTCCTATCTGATTCGTGAATGTGCGTAATCTCATTTTGGAAAAATTCAGAGTGGAAATATTTGTACTAGCATGAGTACATACAGTTAAATTATTTCAATTTTGAAGGACGAGATGTTTCGAGAACATTATGGTGCTTCCAAATAAGGTACGAGAAAATTGTAATACGGATAAAAAATAAACTTACGAATAAATTCGAAGAAAGTATCTATAAACTATAAAAGTAATTTATGTACTTTTTTCAGGAGCTTCGCCACAGATGAAACAACTAATTTAAATAGTACCCTAACAACAAAGTAAAAAGGATGTACTGCCTACAGTGGTTAATTCCAGTACTGCTGATACCAAAACCAGTAAATCCAACACTACTGCAGACGCATGTCATGTTTATGGTACTTTATCTAATTGGATTCTTCCTAGAACGAAAACCATGCACTATCTGTAGTGTAGTATTTCTTTTTGCAGTTTCCCTAATTTGTTATAGTGGCATTGGTAATTGTCTCCTTTGGAGTACAAATTGTGATACAGTGAGATGTGACAATAGCTAAAATTATTAGAATGTTTATTCTAGGTTAAAGAATTGCCTCCATTTTTATTTCTTTTAGAAGAGTATGCCTAATTAATTTACCGTAACATAACCTGAATTCATGGCATTCATATGTATTACATATACATGAATCTTAATTGTATACAAATATGATTTTATTGTTTTAATCATAGTTTGTATAGCTTTTACTCGTGGTATATGTATTTATGTATGTACATATATGCTTACAGTAATATGTATTTATATATGTACAGAAGATAATTCATAAAATTTTGCCAAGCCACGAAACGTTTGCATGAAATTAAAAAACTTCCAAATATAAAATTATGACAATTCAATATTATAGAATTAAGATACAATTATGTATATATAATTAAGTTTAATTCCATTTAATTTAATTCTATTATCTAATTGTACACTATGAATAACATTTTTTTTTTTATATTTAAAAATGAAGAAAATGTTGATTTTCTTAAAAATTAATACCTAAAGAATTAACATTTTTGCAAATTATTTAATTTGAATAAATTTCTCAAGAACATTTTTATAATTAACATTCATAATCAAAATTTGAAACTTGAACATTTTTAAAATGTAGTACCATTTATTACAAATATTTTGAACTTGATTGTATTTGTAATTCATATGATATTCTTCATAAATGATACAGCAGCATAATTAGTAATTATTAAATAAAAAAAAAATAATGGTATTACATTATAATATGAAATATATTCACATTATACTATGAAATACATACAAATATGAAATAAGTTACATAATACTATTTGTTGATCGAATATGACAAGCAATAGAAATATATATTGCGCTAAAATGTAAAGTTTAAGTTACTTCATTTCAATATGTATTGAAAACACCAATTATAAGTAAAATTTAATAATCATAATTTGTGATTTGTTTTATCAAACATAGTGAATAAGGAAAATGAACAAAATATATCATATAGTTTATTATAAATATACTTTTTCATTGAATACAGCTACTATTATTTCATCATATTAATGGAAAAAGTTGAAGAAATTGATATGATCAAAAAAATTTCACATTAAAAGTTTAAAATACGAAAGAAAAGCTGTCACTGTATTGCTTATATATATATATATAT